ATACCTAATCCTTTAACCAAACGATCGTTTTATACCACATTTCATTTAAATGTTTAGCCTCCTTACTCCTCACACGTACTAAATACGTGCCGAAAATCTAGAGTACATTGAAAAATTCTAGAAGTAACTACAGTTTTCTAAACCACGGTAAAAGCTTCTTTAAGATTGCTTAAAGTTTTCAAGTTCGTATTGATTGAACTTAATGAAAATCAATTGTAATAATGTCTTTAGATTTTTTTTTAAATATCGTCAAAATTATATATTTCTTTTAACTTCTTATCTCATGTACCTACTTAAATAAATTCTGGACAGTTTTCGAGAAAATTATCAACATTTTCAAATCTCTCTTTTGAAACGGGAGACTCCATAGTATAAATACACTGTAAAAATTTCTGTCAAATATTATAACTTCTGAAATCTTTAAAAGGCACTCAGCTCTAAGTACGTAGACTTCAAACATCCAAGTGGATTATCCCGTTCAAGAAGAAACTTCTAAAACATATTTTAATATTAAATGAAAAACGATTTAAGACCACACTAAGAAAATGCGATGAACAGCGTACTGAAATACGCTTTTAAATTAAAGAACGCTTCAATATAATTTATAAGAACGTTTAAACCAGGGATGTTATGAAGCTCCGTAACCGTAACCGAAACAATCGGATATCCGAATTAAGTATACATCCGTAACCGTAACCGTACCCGTTCCAGAACTTTCGGATAGTTTCGTATAAGGACGGAGTCTAAAATCTAAATAAAACGACATGTTTAGACAGGTTTTTGTTAATGGTTTCATTACTCACAAAAATAACTAAAAAGGAAACATTTAATATGTTATATGTTATAAGTTAATATGTGCAATGTATAAAGCTTAATGTTTTTTTACAGCTCAAAGTTATTGCATTTTTATTTATAGATAAAACTGAGGAGGATAAATCCTGTGTATAAAACTGAATTATTACATACTATTTCTGTTTATATTTTATTCAATCTAATTACCGTAACCGAAACTATCCGAAACTAACGGATAATCCGAAATAATTACATATCCGTAACCGTATCCGAAACCGATATAATTTTATTCCTATATCCATATCCGTATCCAGATCCGAAATATCATATCCATAACATCTCTAGTTTAAACACACCGATAATGGTAGGGGAGCCCAAGAGGGGATTTCGGGATTTACTAAAGCGCGGCAGATTACTATATAGGGGGATACCTTGTACCCGGTTAAGTACCTCCACAAAATATGAGGCCCATATATAAGGCCGCGCGTGAAGGAGACAGGATCAGATTAGTAAAAAAAAATTGACCATCAGAAATTCCCGAGCGCGTCAGATTAAGGTAGGGTGAGTTAATTACATCCTAAAAAGTGTATATTCCACTAATCTGACAATTTGAGAGTGACGGAAAAAAAGGGGAGGGCAACAAAGTTGTAAAAAAAACGTCATCTCGACATTCTCGAGCGTAGCTAATTTTTCTTTTATTTTGAAGGAAATAATTCCAGAATAATGAAAAATATATAATCTGACGATTTCCGCAAGCCGAAATAACAAAAATTCGTCGATAAAGTTAAATGCGTGCAGCTGCGTGATGCCTACATTTCCTTAAACCGATCGGAATCTACTAAACGGCGTTCAAAATATTTCCCTCAAAATTACATTTCCTGTGAATTTGAACCGATTCGGACCGATAGATTTTGAGAAATTTTGAAAAATCTTAAAAAAATATGAAATATTTTTTTTTTAAGTGGTTTCTTTATCGTTCAACTTCAAAAACTAATCCGCCTTTGAGCTTGAAAAACCACGTCGATCGCCACCAAGCTGGTCAAAAGCGGTTGATTCGTTCGAGAGATATCGTACATGAAAGAAACCCGAAAAAGTGTTTTTTCGGGATTACTCCGAAATTTGTGGTTCGATCAATTAAAATTGCAAAATTACTTATGAGAATGATAAAACTGCGTCGAATGCCGCCAACCGCGTGAAAATTGCTTGATCCATTCAAAAGTTATTGCGGTTTGAAAATTCCAAAAATAGTGTTCTATGAAACTTCTATCAGACTTTCGAGCTGGGAGAGCTCAAATGCATAGAAATGTTATTTCTTTGAACTCAGCGAGCTCAAAATATCAATTTTAAGCGCCCAGGAATGGAATTAGCGGGAAGTTGCAGGGATGGCCCTTTAGGTGAACCGTTTTTCTATTTTTTTTTTGTCAGATCAGGCGAATCCCTCTAGATAATCGTCAGATTATGAGACAGTACGTTTAGAACATAAAGATGAACCACATATATCTTAATCTGACGCGCTTGAGTATTTCAAAATTGCGATTTTTTTTGCAAATTAAGAAAATGGCTGTGGGTTTGCGTCCCATCGAAATCGTCAGATTAGTGAATGAGAGATTTTTTTTGGTGCACTTAACACTCCCTTAGAAAATCTGACGCGCTCGATAAATTTTTTTTTTTTTAATTTTCAACCCTTAAATACAACCACCCGCATCATGCAAACGATCAGATTAACAGACGCACATTATTAAAAATACGTAGGGCATAGATGCTATCAATATCTGACGCGCTCGAGGATGTCCATGCAACAGTTTTTTTTTACATATTTAACTATCTATAGCCGCTTCCCCCACCGATGAAAAGGAATTTATCATATAACATTTTTTTCTTCTTTTTATCTAAGCTTTGTATCCCAATAGGTCTCTACGACGCTCGAGTAAATCCCCATTTAGCATCGTGGGCTCCCCTACTATAATAGATATTAATAAAACCTGAAAACGTAAAACTGAAATAGTTATTATCTTGATCCTAGGTTATGTAGCTTGACTATATTTTTGCATATTTCTAAAGAATAAATTCATAAACTACCAATTCTTCTTATTTAAATTAGAATTATTATTAAGAATGCTTCAATATTCCTAAGTAACATAGGTCCAACTGTTCGAAGATTATTTATTAGTCGTATTAAAGGCAATAACACTGAGCACTTTTCTGTTCAAAAACTCTTCAAAATTATAGTACTATATTTCACTTCTCGTTTGTAGCAAATTAATTGGTATAATACTCTCAAGAGGCTTTGAATTCGAGCTAGAACCTACTACAACCTCCTTACTTTCTACATAAGATTCCCACTTGATATGCTTTACCAGAAATACTTGCCAGTAACTGTATTAGTGCCCCTCAGTAATATAATACGACAAGAATTTCCAAGAAATTGTTCATTTACAAATACTTAATAATAAAGAATCAGTAGGGCTATGGTTAAGTATGATGCCTAAATATATTAATTCGAGAATCTCGATCCAAAGGCACACGTTAGAACCATGTTATCAGCAATCCCAATGGGCTTTTTCTTTCTATGTGTGCATTTAACACTCGCTCGTACGGTGAAAATATTATGAAGAAATAGGCTACAGATGATAAACCACTCCTTACATGGAAATTGTATTAACTTTTACCGCAAACTTCCAAGCGAAATTAGAATATTATCACTGAATAAATTCAAAACTATTGTTAACCGTAAATTAATCAATAAAGCTTTTTATAAATTTGACGGTTATTTAAATGATCATATTTTGAGTTTGAGTTTAGATTGAAAATCGGCGTGTGTCAGGCACAAAAACAGGCAAAACTCTGATATAAGAAAGACATAAGTTCAGGAAATAGATAAAGAAATCGAAGGCCAACAAGCATGGAGGTAGAGATATTTTTTATGGTTTGATTATTAATCTATAACCATCACCAAGATTACAAACTTCAGCATTGAACGCTACAGCGCTACAGGATTTCCTAATTACTGCCTAAATATTTCTAAATATTTTAGTCAGTGATATATTTAAGTGATATTTTTTAGGCAAAAACGTAAAACATGTTATGTCCTTTATTTTATTTTACTCGACATTATCCTTTTGGCATATCGTAAGGATAATGTATCGATTTCTAAATAAATAAACAAAGACATTTTTCGCTATTTTAAAACTAAATATTAAATTTTAAAGTTATCATTTTCACAAAGCGCCATCTATATATTGTTTTCAGAATTAACGTCCTTTGTGAAAAGCTCTATTCATTGTTGCGTCATCTAGTGGAGCTTTTCCAAACTCTACACAAAGATATTTCCACGCCCTAGAAAAGATATCGGCAAACGTCGCAAGGCGTCGCCAATTTAAGATAATTCGTAAATAAGCAACTTCAATTTCATTGTTTCTTGTCAGATAAATACTACAATACACTGATCCGATGACGTAGATTAATTAAGTGTTTTACGACATACCAAAACATTAATAATACTTATAAATGCAGAAAATAATTAATCGTTTATTTACAAAAAAGTGGTACATTCAGATTTATTATATAAAAACCGCAGAATCAGCCATATAAAATAGCCATTATCATAATATCATTATAATAATAAGTAAAACAATAAACAGTTATTTATAAATGTTGTCAAAACTTATGGTCTAAATACTCTCCCTTTAAAGGCACCTTGCCTTTAAAAATTTAATCACCTTCCCCAGTTAAAAGCATAACACGGCAGTGACCTATAACTTCTAGGACGTGATTCCATATTTTAATAGCCATGGCGTAACAATTTTTTTAATAAATCGTGGTGCTACATGCCGGCACCCACAGCCGTGTTGGATCCCTCGGTAGATGTAGGCTAGTCTCATTAAATGTTTTGAATAAAGCTTTATTTAAGTTCATAAAAATACGAACAGATTTGCCAAAAACCTTTAACAGAAAACAATAAAATATTGTCCCAAAGTCCAAAGCCTACACCAAGAACTAACCTTAGTTAATACTAAATCATACACTTACACTACAATTTCCACTATACATGAAACAGCTACTAATTAACAGGTGTAATATTCTGTACACAATTACATTTCAGACTGCAGACACACAAAGCCTAATACAGTGAATATTGTTTCAGATATGTTTGATGTGATATTGTATATCGGTTACTCGAGTTAGACCCCAATGCCCCGGCTTTCGAGATGCAATCCCCTTCACCTCGACTGCGCCACTACAGGTCCCCAAAGTGTCTCCTAGCATGCAGCTTTTAGCATATAAGATCTACATTCAAATATACAATGTAAATTTTTACAGTAATTCGGATAGATTGCCTACTGTATATTTGAACTAGATTACTATTCCTATCAGATCTAAAGCACCTTTCAATGGCTTTTACTGAGCACCAAGAAAATGCATATAATTTGTTAATATGCATTTTCTAATGACTATAAGTTCATCTTCCAAATTACTCGTATTAAAATATAAAAAAGGGTGCGTGTACTTATGTACGCGCGTAAGAAGTTATACTTCTTTGGCATTATTAAAAATAGTTTTTGATTGCATGCAAATAGTTAATTACAATTAAATAATCAAAGACTGGAAAAGGAGTCATTATAGTCAATAAAGTTCAGTTTACATTTGAAAAATTAAATAAATAAATATTTATTTTTATTCTCTTACATTAAGTGTAACATAAATTCTATTATAATTCGAATGTTGTTTTTAAATTATGTCCAATGCCGTAGCATCTTCCGTGGGCAACTTCATTCTGTTAATTTTGTGTCACGGTGCGCGCGCATCGTAAAATTTCACTCTCATCAATTTTTCATAATGCGCCTAAAGAAGTATAACTTCAATATAATAGTTTTCCAGAAAATTTTAAAGTTCTGTGTAATTTTTTAAAATAATAGCATCAATCCACTGTTGGTAAGATTTGTATGTAGCAATATGTTTAAAAGTTACTTTAGATGAACTTGTAGTAAGAACACTTAGCTTGCACATGCATGATGATTTAAGATTAGTCCCGAGTAGTTGGAATAACTTTCATGCTTGCTTAAAGCCAATTAAAATCTTAACCTTATAACTTTGTATCTAGTTTTAATTAATTTAGAAATATATATATAATCATTTAGCCTATTCGTTAAGTATGCGGTTTTCAAGTCTGAGAACGTAGGATCAAATCCGGGATGATTCTCGTTTGCTTATGAGGTTTAAGAAACGTGAGGAACTGGGACGGCTCAGATCCATCTCTTATGTCACGCATAGAAAGTAGCGACCTGTAAACCGACCAAATTACGAAACTGCATTCATATAAGGGTTATTAATTAATTTATTTAATGAAGGCTGTTAGTGTAAAACCTTTTTAAAAGTATTGTTTTAGTTTTATTTTTTTGAAATCAGTATTAACTTGGCCTAGTGGCTTCAGCTTACGACTCATCCCTGAGGTCGTAGGTTCGGTCCCGGCTGTCCACCAATGGACTTTCTTTCTATGTGCGCAATTAACATTATGTCAAACGGTAAAACACCATGAGGAAACCAACTTGCTTTAGGCCCAAAACGTCGACGGCGTGTCAGTCAGGCACATGAGGCTGATCACCTACTTGCCTATTAGATTAACAAATGATCATGAAACAGATTCAAATATCAGAGGCCCAAACCTTAAAAGGTTGTAGCGCCACTGATTTATTTTATTTTATTAACTTAGCCTAGTGATAGAGTAAAAATAATGCAATAGTTAATTAAAATTTCTCAAATCATTCGAAACAAGCACGATCGAAATACATTATATCAAAACGCAAATTGAAATTGAACTTCATTGAACAAATCATTTCTAACCGATTGCACGCATTCAGTTTCCAATTCAAATATTTTCAATATAATTCGTAGTGCCAAACCGATACTGAATATGAAGGACTTATCGACACATCAACCTGTCTGGAGCCGGTGAATCCGTAATCTATAACAAACATTAGACCAATATCACGCTTTTGAATAAAACATGTTAGATATAAATGGTTATACAAAATTTATATTTAAGAAGTTGGATGGAAGTTTTATCATCAGCAAAATAAGTCTACTACTATCTATAGCAGATCAAATGATTACGTCAGAAATCGGTCTTCCCCTTGATTACTATTCTGCTGTATGGACTATTAAATTTTGCAGATCCTATAAGAAATTTGAATTTCTTAAATCAATATATAGGTATCGTTATATTGTCTCAATAAGTCTTTACAGTGTAATCCGGATTCAAAGTTTGCTCAGAGTTAATTCTATTGAAGTCTAGTAAAATGTATTTGATAAAATTCAATAAGGTAGTAATTACGTTAATTTTGACGTTAGACCATGAATGGTTTATGGGTGTAATAGATATTGTCGACACGCATGGGAGCGGTTATTACTTAATATCTCGTCGCTAGTTCACTTATCGGAGCGGTGATGTGAAAACAAGAGCCCGATATCTAAAGGTTTACTCGTACCGCAAACGAACCGTCGACATGTACCCATATTCGCGTTTTAGGAACAATAAGTCGTGAGTCAAATATTATATCATATTAAAGGAAAATACAGATTTATTGGGACATATGTCAAACAATTGCCGTGTTGGATGTGCATGTTACGATAACTGTATACTTTACAACTCAAGTTTATTGTAGAATTATAATAAGTTGCATTAAAGATGTTTAAAAATACTTTGTTTAATTAATTACGATACTAATAATAAAAAAATTCCAGGACTATGACGGCAATATGTTTCGTTTGCAATCTACCAATCCTTTCCCACCAAGTGGGCCTGGTTTGGGCTGGAGGCAACGGATGGGACGAGCTCACACGCTCTACTCTAGAAGAAACCACGCTGAGGCAGAGGTTAGGCAATCGAAGAGACTCCGCAGCTCAAGTCTCATGCTTGTCTCCACCGGAACCCGACGCAGCGGATCAACCAAGAGGTACGTGTATACATTTTATGTACAGATTTTATTACGACATAGATTGCTGAAACCGTAGTCTTTTTATTCTATATTATCTGGATTAAAAAAAATTAAAAATGGTTCAGCGTCTTTGAAACATTTTTTTTATTTTACCTTATATACCCTTTATAATAACAATTATGGCAATGTTAAAAAAAATATTTTTTATAGGTGGCCCTCGTCGCCGTCGTTCATCCCTAGCACAACTGACCGATATTTTACGCGAATGGGGTGGAGGAGGAAGCAATGCCCCAAGAAGACAAAGGGCACCCTTATCACGACGGGAAACATTAGCAGACCTTGCTCGGTCACTACCCTGGGCCCGCCACGAGCCTCCACTTCGCAGACGTCGAGATTCTTCAGCAGATTCAGGGATCAAGTCAATGGCTTCCAAACGTCGCGACTCAAAAGTTGCTCACCAAGACTTCCGTTCAGACAATCCCCCTTGTTTTGAAAGAAAAGATTCCACCACAATTATACCTTCCCGAGAGCGGCGAATCAGACGTCGCGGCTCCGGAGATGACAAAGAGCGTAGGGATTCAGTAGATGGATATAGACATAGAAGAGATTCCGTGGTGGCTCCACCTCCAAGAATTGTTGCCACACATAAAAAAAGAAGACCATCCCCACCAATGCAGGCACCACCCTCATTTGTCGATGCTTCTTCAGATCCCGGGCCATCTCACGTACCAGCAGTAACTATAGTAACAGTGCATGAGCCAAGTCGATCTGATGGTGAATGCCCACCGGTAACAATGCCAACTATCATAACCTCCGCGGTGACGCCATCACCAACATCACCTACTGTCCCCAGTGTCAACACAGCTACGACTCAAGCTTCTCCCACGCCATCTGTCAACCAAGTCAGTCAAGGTACGCAAGAATGCCAAACAATTCAAAATACACAAACAACTCCGGGGGGAAGGAGTCCTCCTAATTTAGGAGGACGCCGTGACTCAACAACTCAATGTGGTCGTACAAGAAGAGACTCACGTGCCGCTGCTAGCCCAGAACGCCGGCTAGGTCGATTACAAAGGCAAGCAACTGCATTTGATGATCCCATTGGCCCACCTGGAACAAGGCGGCCTTCTCTAGAGCCAGATGATGCTGGAAGAGCTCGCCGTGACTCCTTAAGTCCCGATTCTGCCGTAAGGTCAAGACGTGAAAGAAATCAGCTTAGCCCTGACCGGGCTGGTGGCGGTGAATTAAGCCCATCAGCAGCACGAAGACGAAGTCGATTGAGAAGACAAGCCTCTTGTGCTAGAATGGGACGTGCTAGAAGCCCAGAGTCTAGTTCATGTTCTAGTCGTGATCCTAGCCCTTGTGCAAGGCCCCCTGAAAAAACGATTTTTAGAAGACAATCAACAACTGAAGAGATATTAATAGCTAGAGGCTTTCGTCGTCAATCTACCACGGAGGAAATGATACGGTGTCGTAACTTTAGGCGGCAAAGTTCCCAAAGTGATGATGCCTGCATGCGCGCTAGAGGTCGCCGCGATTCTTCGACTCAAATATTAGATGGCACCATTGGAACCATGACTGTTGAAACAACTAGCACTTTTTTCGATTCAAGCACACAAACTGGTAAGTCCTATCAATAACAGATTTACAATTTAAATAAAATGTGATTGTTATAAAAAATTAACACAACGTTTGTTATAAATCTATCCAAACGACATCTATGGGACGGTATTACAAAACCATGAACCCATTAATTATTCAGCAATACAATTACAGACAGTTTTCATTAAATATCTATTTATTATTCAAAAACTAATCACAGCCATATTGTTCAATTTTCAAAAGAAGAATTAATTAAACGTGATTTCTTTTTCTGATTTATTGGTAATTTTTGAACGTAACATATATAATCTTAGAAAATCGTATTAAATCAAGTTAATTAAATCATCCATTCTTCTCAAAACAATTTATTTTAAAGACAAGCAATTAGTTTTACAAAGACAAAGCCCGTGCAATATTTCCACCTGAACTTTGCGAGTACAAAGACACCACGTGTTAGCCCTCCGCCCCTTTCCGTCCACCAATCACGAATCTATTATCTCTGTCGCACGCGTATCGACGAAAAAGCTATAGAGGGCTTTTGAGGAGGGTGGCGCCATCCTCAAAAGCTCTGAATTCGTGAGTCATTTTGAATAGGCAGCGCTTTCGCGCGGACCTCGGCCCCGCTATGAGATGAGTGAAGACGAGCGGCGCAGGCCCGTAGCCCGCGCCTTGTCATCTGTTGCCTAACGCTGCCATGTTTACTAAAATGAAAGTGACGTGCCGTACACAACGAATAACCTTTACGAGATTTTGACAAATTCGCAAAACATCCCATTCGATATCACAACGAAACAATATTTGTGAAGCTTTTTTATATGGAGCAAACGTTGGTGTGTTATCACTTAATAGTGAGGTGTGACAATTAATATTTACGAGTGAACTTAACCTATTTAACTGATATCAAACGAAACAACAATTTTTATATTTTTATGACGATAGACTTGATATTTAGGAACATTTTTATTGAGAAGTTTCAGTTAGAGTGGAAGTCAGCAAGATGGTGAGTACATTTGATAATGAAAACAAGTAAATAAAAACAAATATAATTATGTTTTATAAATTACAATAGATACAAAATTTTGTATTATTTTCCACTACATCCTTGGTGCAAATGTAATCTTTATGAAATAAACAACAATACTGTAATTATTCGTAAATAAAGCAGATCAAATCATTTACAAGCTTTAAAAATAACAATCGACAGTCTGGTGAACGAAGCAAATATAGTACATGTACCATAGTTTTAATTTATAAAATAAATTTGTTAAGACGAAAAGCAATAAATTGTTTACATTATTTAAGATACTATTTACAAAATAGGATTACTAAAGTTATCTTATATACGAATGTTCTATGCCGTCAAATGCTTCTAAATAAACAATTACTTCCAAATAAAAAGATGATTGAAACAATATTTTCCTGCGTAATGGGCCGTTACATTTAAAATAACGAAAGCATTTCAGGCTACGCAATAAAAAAGAAATGAAAAATACCTATTTATTGCCCACTTTACTGCCTACGAGGCATTAATTACGATCTCCTATAGCTCTTTTTTATACTTCAATAAAATACTCAGGTAGGTTTTATAGGATCATGTATTTTATCGATATATTAAACGCGTCATAAATTTAAAATTGCCAAGTACAGAAAACTTTTTTCCAAAACTGAGTTTTGAGTTAGTGTTCATTTATTAAATTGATGTGTAATAATAGTTTTTATTTTGGATATCAAAGAACATTAAATCAAATGTAATCGTGTTTTTTCTAGTTATTTTATACAAAATTTATTATTAGTTTTATAAAATATGTATTTATATGTCTATCTATAATATGTATGTATATCCGTTGCCTAGTACCCATAACACAAGCTTCACTAGCTTAGCATGGGACTAGGCCAATTGGTGTGAATTGTCCAATTGTCCAATCATATAAAAAAACAAGTTAATACCGGAATATATTATAATTTTACCAACTCTCGTATAATTGCGTAAAATCACATGTACATACGCCTACATTTTCGATAAATTAAACTATGCAACATCAAAAATATTAACAATTCGAAATGTCTTTACTGATATAAATGAAATAACAAATAGTAACCAACTCGTCAGCGTTTTCATATACCTACTATAAAAGCACATTTATATAAATTAATTGTCATCCCTCTACGATCAATCCCTGTTTTTTATTATAGTAGATAGTTATTTTTATTGAACTAAAAAATTTTTTCCTAGAAATAATATACATGGCAAAACGACGTTTGCGGGGTCAGCTATAATAATAATATAGCCTTTAAATTCCGAAACTCTGACATTTTATATATCTGAACTTTAATATATTTTCACTCCAGTATATCTCGGAGTTCGGTTTGCCTCTTGGCAAAGGCCTCCTCTAACCCTTTCCACTGTTCTCTATCTTTTGCGACTCTTCTCCAGTTGTAGCCTGCTGTTAGTTTCAGTTCGTCCTCCCATCTCTTGCGTGGTCGACCTCTTCTTCGTTTTCCGTCTCTAGGGTACCATTCCGTCACAATTTTGCTCCATTTTTCATGAGGGCTCCGTAGCATATGACCCGTCCATCTCCATTTCATTTGGTCGATCTTAGTGAGAATGTCTGTCACACCTGTTCTAGCTCTTATGTCTGAGTTTATTTGTTTATCTAATTTTCTTATGCTCAGCATGCTTCTTTCCATGGCTCTTTGGCAGTGTGCTAACATATCCCTGTGCTGGTTAGATAGTGCCCAAGTTTCGCAGCCATAGGTAAGGCAGGGTAGGATACATGTGTTAAAGACTTTTCTCTTTATTTTTTTGCTGAAATCTGTTGTTTTCATGATCTCCCTCAGTGACCAATATCTTTTCCATCCATTTGCTATTCTTCTTTTGATCTCTTTGGTGGTTATATCAGTTAGAGAGATAATTTGCCCCAGATAAATGTACTCTTCAACGTATTCTAGAGGTTGATTATTAAGTTTTATTTCGTATGGGACTGAATTTGATAGTAGCTTTGTTTTGCTTGTGTTCATTTTCAGGCCTACTTTCTCACTTTCTTTGTTTAAGTCTTGTATCATTTCTCCAAGTTTATGAGGGTTCTCTTCGAACAATACAATGTCGTCTGCAAATCGAAGATGATGTAGTTTTCTCCCATCTATATTTAGTCCAAATTCATTCCATTCTAGTTTCCGGAATATGTTTTCAAGCACAGCAGAAAATAGCTTGGGAGATAATGGGTCCCCTTGTCTGACACCTCTTTCGATTTTAAATGTCTTTCCGAGTGTTTCCATTTGTATTCTTGCATTGCAGTTAGCATATATTTGTTTTATGATGTTTATATAGGCCCCGGATACTCCTTGGTTTTCTAAGCTTTCCCAAATCACTTCATGTTTGATGCTGTCAAAAGCTTTGGTGTAATCTATAAAAGCCATATACACTGTTTTGTTATATTCACTGTATTTTTCTATGATTTGTTTGACTGTGTGTATATGATCTATCGTTGCGAAGTTTTTCCTAAATCCGGCCTGTTCCATTGGTTGGCTCTCGTCTAATGTGGTGCTTAATCGATCTAGTAATATCTTGGAGAAAACCTTATATATGTTTGACATCAGGCTTATTGGTCTATAGTTGGATAGGTCTTCCTTTGAGCCTTTTTTGTATATAAGAATTATGTGCGAGGTTTGCCATTGTTCAGGAATCTGTTCTGATGTTAGGATGTCGTTAAAGATTTTCGTCAGAATGGGCACCAGTTCTTTTAGCGTTCCTTTCAGTAATCCGTTCGTGATCTTGTCTGGACCTGGTGCCTTATCTGACTTTTGGCTTAATATAGCTTTCCTGACTTCACTTTGTAATATATCTGGTTCTAAGTTTGAAGGGTATATCGTCGTTTTGTAGTTGTTGCACTGTTCGTTTCCTGCGATAGCTGGGTTGGAGTATAGATTTTTGTAAAAATCTGATGCTGTCTTTACTATAGTTTTGCGGTTCGTGATGTTAATTTGATTTCTTTTGAGATTAGGTACCCAAGGAGTCGCTTCACGAAGTTCTTTAAGAGCTTTTTTGGTTCCGCCTGATTCAATGATGTGTTTTTCGAGTGTTTGTATTCTCCTTGTTTTCCTGTCCCTGCGTATGCTTTTCCTTATTCCCTTACTTATTTCGGCTATTTCTCTCAGATTCCGTTTGCCGTTTTTGTTCGCAATTAGACTTTTTCTTTTATTTATAAGCTGCATGGTAGAATCACTCAAAATATATTTTTGTTTCTTCTCTTTTCTAGTATTAGCATAGCGAAGTTGATTTTGAAGTCTGGTGTATTTGTTTCTTATGTCAAGTTCTTCTGTTTCTTCGGTTACTCTGGTCTGAGTTGCTAATGGGTATGATGTTGTTTCGTTAGTTTCCGCGATATGGGTTCTGCTAGACAAGTTAATGTGCTTTCTACGGATCTTAGGGGGCGTCATTTTGAGCGATGCTCTAACCATGCGATGGTTAGTATTGAAATTTAACCTAGAAATGACTGTAGTGTCTGTAAATAGCTTTGGGTGGCTACTTATAATATAATCTATTTCATTTCTGTACTTTCCGTCAGGGGAGACCCATGTCCACTTGTTGTTTTTATTCTTCTTGAAGATACTGTTCGCAATTGTAAGATTGTGTTCAAGAAGGAGATCTATTAATCGTTGGCCATTGATACTTCTTTTTCCATAGGCGAATTCTCCCAATATGTATTCGTCATCGTTTTGTCTAGCGCCTACTTGCGCATTGAAATCCCCCATCAGGATAATAATATTATTAGAGTAGTCATATATGATTTGAGATAGTGTATTATAAAAGGATGTATGTTCTAGTTCATCAGCTTGTTCAGTTGGTGCGTAGACTTGGATGATTGACCATATTTTTTTGAAGCTGGGTATTTTTAAATGCAGTATGGCTATTCTTTCCGTCATACCGATGAAATCTTCTATGGAGTTTTTTAAGTGGGTTTTAACTAAAAAACCAACTCCTCTTTGGCCTCCAATTTCGCCTTTATGGAACATTATATAATCTTCATGTTCTTCGATTGAATTTCCTGGTCTGCGCACTTCACTTAGTCCCAATACGTCCCATTTAAGGTATTTCAGCGCAACTTCTAGCTCAGATAGTGATTCAGGAGTTCTTAAAGTCCTAGTATTGAGCGATGCTATGTATATATTATGTTTTTTTGTTAGAGGGTGGTGGTCTGATCTTCCCGCGGCGACCAACCGTGGTGGGAAGGCTTCTTGATTAGGTTGTTTTAGAATGTGTTTCTTCCATATTTGTTTTGCTTTTCCGGATTTAGTTGTTGTTGTTTTTGTTTTGATAGGTTGCTCGCGTGTGTTTGTTAGTTTTTTGAAATGTCGGAGGTCGAAAACGATCTATCTCTTCCTATATATTGTAGTATGTTTGGTTGTAATATTTCTTCTTGTCCTACATTGTTAGTTTTAGTCGATGTGTTTTCAAACTTGTTAGATGTGTTCTGTTTTTTCTGTGTAGACAAGTTGGGAGATACAGTTTTATCTCTCTTCCTTTTTTCGCGCTGGTTATTCTGCAGTTTTTTAATCACCAATTGGTCTCCTTTCAAAAAATATTTGTTTCCCTTTTTCCATTCTTCCTCTGTTTTTGGCTGTAGTTGTTTTCTAGTTTCTAGTACCTTCTTGGTGGGGTTCTCTTTTTCAAATGTGCCTTTTAATACTATAAGTTTGTCGTATCTTATAAAAGCAGTATAGCCTTTCTCCTTTTCTTTCTGTAACTGGACTTGGAGTTCCTTCCGCCTATTAAGGACTTCAATCGGATAATCCTCCTTAATGTAGTACTGAGTATTTTCTAGACAGGATTTGTTTTTCAGAATATGTAACTTGTAACTCATGCTGTTAAACGTTATAACAACCGGTCTTATGTTATCACCTTTCTTTCCCAACCTTCTGACAAGTTCAATGTTATTTTTGTCACATGGAAATTCAAAGAACATGTTTATTATATTTACTATAATATTCTCTAATTCAAAATAAGTATTCTCACTCTCTTCTACTCCGAACATGACTAGGTTCTTTCGTCGTGAATGCCTTTCTAAGTTATTTAATTTGACTTTTTGTTCTTCAATAGTTTTTTCTAATTGTTCGTTTTTCAATTCAAGGTTTGCAAATTTCTCGTGAATGTTGTTAATTATTGTGTTTTTTAAATCCTCTTTCATGTCCAACATATCTTGTTTTTGTTGCTTGATGTCTTGCTGTAAGTTCAGTAACATTTGGTGAATTTCTTCCATAGTGTATCAGTGCCCTCTATCCGAAGAAATATGAATTTTTCAACGAAGTTAAAATTATTATCGATAAATTTATATTTTCCTAATTCTAGAAATTTTACTAGATTGCGGGGTCAGCTAGTGGTTTATAAAAAAAGGTGTTATAGTTTTTCTGTCCACCAGGACGTTGAACAAATTGCCTTATTTACCAATGACAATATTTTGTACATTTTAACTAAGGCAACATAATAATTAACTTTTTCTCATAAGTCCATCTTGAAGCAACCTAAGTACCCAATATCGTTCAGGCTGCTACAAGCATTTAGAAAGAGCTTAAATATAAAAGAGGACACAGTTTCGCCTTTAAATTTCAAAGGTACACAGGCGTTGGCAGAGTTCCCATTGGATCCAATCCGCCCTTTGGCGTCGTTCCAAAACAAAAATCGCTTTCACTCTCCTACTTGCGCGATTTGACACGCACAGCTCAAAATAAAAACCTCGTCTGGATCTGAATAGAAAGTCATCATTGAGATCCTTAATTAAAAGCTAAGTTAATATCTAGAATGCCCTGAACAGTTGCAAAACGTACTCGCCATGTGTTATAATATTATATGAACTACTTCTACTACTACAACTACTTGTAATTAAACCTTAAAAACTAAGTATCGAATAAACGTTATTGAGAGTAAAAGGCAGGTTGGCTTAAAATTAAAAATGTTTATTATTATTATGGAACAAAAGATACAGGTATCACTTATCCCACGTCATTAAATTTGAAATCAAATCGGTAGAAATCCCTACTCATCGGTAAAGAAGACAGAGGGTGTAGGCCGTGAGAAAAAGCCGGCGCAAAAAACTCTCGGTACTCTTTTATGTGTAAATTATTTAATGAAATCAAATTTTATTAATATTTTTTTTATAGAACCTTCCCCGCTGTATGACAACAACCATTACCACGAGGAATGTCTGCGTTGCAACTCCTGTGGATTAAACCTCACTGGACCCAATCAGGTAATAATTAAAACAAATACGGTAACAGGTGATTTATTTTTTTGTGTTGTTCCCTAATCGTTATAATATATTTTTCGTCAATTGAGTCAAACCAAAGATAGTATATAGAAAGGTTGGTAGGTTAAGAAACTGTGTATCAAACGTTCTTTGTAGTAAAAATGCCAACAATGTAAAAAAAATCGTCTGTTGATGAAAATATATTTAAACTAGTGGACCCCACAGACGTTGTCCTGCGTGATATTTAAAGCGATTAGGATATTAAGCAAAGTATGAAAGTACCGACTGCAGTGCCATCTGCCGGGCTGATTTGTGAATCTAAACCATTCCCAGATCCCCTTGAACACACACAAAAAATTTCATCAAAATCGGTCCAGTCGTTTGAGAGAAGTTCAGTGACATACACACTCACAGAAGAATTATATATATAAAGATTTATTTATGTCATCATGAGAACAGTATAACAACTAGTTATAAATAGTTAGTTATTTACTAACCTTAAGTCCCTATATGTAAGGTTTTTCTTTGATTTGCAATTGTTTTAGTAAGACACGTGATTGATTTCCTTTCTCGACCCTAATGGCCTCGTGGGCTTTGAAATTTCTTCGATTAATTTCGATCAAGGCTAGTTTGTTTTCAATTCATTGCTATAAATACACAGTAAAATAAAATATACTATTATTGAATTAAACGCTACAATACGTTAAGAAACATAAATTAGTAAAACTTTGTGTATTTTTTTTAAACTGACTATTTTGTTCCTAAAATTTGTCACAAGAGTAAGTTTAAGCCACAGAGATTTAAATACGAAGTGTTTCAGGTAATGCAAGTAAAAATCATGCATTTTTTAAGATTTTAATTAGATATGAAATTGTAGCAGTAACTATTTGTAGTTCAAACCCGAATCCAGCTATGCCAAGAAATTATTCATTAAATTTAAGATTCTTATACTAAAAGGTATAAGAATCTTAGGTAGGTATAGCTATTACGTACTCTTAGAGGGGTAGGTAACATAAAATGATGATATTATAAGTTTGACTTTGATTAGTCAATACCATCTCTAGTCACACACAAGATACACGATCCGTCTTTTCATTTGACTAATAACGTGAACAAATTATTTAAAACGTTTTTGTTTTATTTGCTCTGAAATAGTGATTTTTTTTTTAAATAAACGCTTTTGTGTTTAAAGGTTCTATTAACATTTGTTTACACAAAATGAATTCAAGTGTTATTCGATCTCTCTTTTTCATTAAGTTTAAATTAGACAACCTCTTTGACCCAGCCAATATTATTTTAGGACCACAGTTTATTCGAATAATTGAACAGTACTCGATTTATTACAAATATTCATATGTTTTATCTTCTTGTATGTTAAAAGACGGTAAATTTCCTAATATAAAACACAAATCCAGCTATGTGAAGCCGGGACGAGCTAGTTTTACATAAAAGTTAATATTATAAACTAATATTATTATATTAATAATATATTATACGTTATTTTTAAAAGAAAGAGTATACCCTCCCTCAAAGGCAGATACCACACTCACTTTAATGGGTGCCCATGGGCTGCAATCAAAGTCAAAAATCATTTATTAATATAGGTACCACAATGTACTTATGAACGTCAAAAAAGTTTAAATTATTAAATGCTTCTTATTTCACATTTACTGCCAGTTCTCAAATAAAGGGCGTTGAACGGAAGAAAAAACTGGCAATTAACTCTCCGCCACTCTTTTTAATCGCCAAGTTTTTTGTTACAACGTTTGTATGGAGCTGCAACCATTACACCATGTTCAACATGACATCTTAAGTAATTAATAATAGTAAAATAAATTAAAACCAAAGATTTGTCCTCTATCAGCAGGAGGCATGGTGAAATAGGAGCATGCACTTACATTCTTGTGGGAACAACACGCAAATACATAGTCGAAATGACTGCCCATAGGCTTGAGCCTATGCATTAAAATAAATTACAAGTGATAAATTATTACACATGACACGACAACAGATAGTACAAAGTTGCCCATTAAGTTAGCATTATGTATCTTAATGATGCAAGTCATCTACGAAACGTAATGCCCAATTACCCGCTGATTTAAGGACGTACAACGGAAAAGACTTTCTAGTTTTCGATCAAAATCTGGTTGAATTTTAAGACATTTCCTTAATGACTTAAGTAACTGGTAACTCGGTTATACCCGAAGAGATTTTACTATTTCACGAGACTTTTCAGTACAGCTTTTGATTGCAATCTTTTTTTTTTTGGTTTTTCCGAAATCTGTGCACACGATTTTATTTCACATAATTTGTATTTGTTAATCTAAAAATCTATATGGTTTTTTGACACATATTTTAGTGACCTTTTCTTTGTAGAAACGTGCGAGGCGGTTCAAGAATCATATACTTTGCGATCTGCACTTCGCAGACGTAGCGCTGATGGAGTGTAGCGACTTTATGCAACAGCTTCGCAGCTTCAAACCCCAGTCACTGGGCTGCGCAGTCGCCAGGCGGAAGTCTTCCACCACATTAATATTCCCTCTTCCGCCGCAGGCGTGCTCAGGTAATGTTATAGGTGACTATAAAAAATAAAATACAAAAATCATAAAGAAAACTTGAGACTCAAATTGGCATAGGCAATATACAACCTTTTCCTATCCACGATCTTAGAACGAAGGCGTTTTCAAAGCAAAGTTTATACAAGTAACAAAATAAGGTAAGCAATTGAATGGTGGATGCAATATGAATGGTTTTTAAATTGTTTTTCTGGCGTAGACGATTTTTTATTTAAGAGAAGAGTTTAGTTTATCTTTCAAGGTCTTTATGGGACTTTGTGGAACCAGCTTACCCACTATTATTTCCAGACCAATTCGACCTAGGGTACTTCAAGAAAAGAGCGTATCAATTCTTAAAAGGCTGACATCACACTCGATTGAGAGTATCTTTTCAATTCCTGATAAATGACTTTAATTATATCTATTGGTGAAAGTATATACATTTTGAATTAATCTCGAATAGACAGACATACGTAGCGGAGGCCTTTGCTTTGTTACAATAATAATGGGATGTTTGTTATCTATAAATAGCGAGCTTTAATCTCCTAATAAAAGCCTAATCTCACCTAATAAGATAAATGGTTAGAAATATTATAAAATGCTTAGCAACCCGAATCTAAGTTGAGTGAGATTGTCTCCAAATTCTCTGCTTAATTGACAAGATAAAACGCGTCGGCCATTTTGTCTTCACAAACTTACTAATAATGCCAATTACGAATATAATTTAATTAATAAAATTTTGCTTGTGGTTGGTAATTGTTGCGCAATTATATTTGGCATCAATATCTCATATATGAGCTTGGTAAGTCAAACTTTGTAAAGAAATTTCCTTTTCATTGATTTAATAATCATCATGATTCAAGAATTCTACTTGAACTTCCAATCGTTTGACCAATCTTACCCTAGTCACTTGGCGTGACCCCTAAACCTATGGTGGTTCGTACCCCAATTGTACTCCTAAGAAAACCATCGTATAGAAACTGGCATTTCAGAAAAAACATCGGAGACAGTTCTAGAAAGCTTAGGCCAACATAAAAAAGAATAGTAACATCACTTTATATTCATTATTAATAGTAAGGTTATAAATAAGGGATATTTAAAACCGATCGTTAAAAATAGGCTGCATAACTCCAGCTCTAAATATAAGTTCCATTATGCAGCGAGGCTGCACTGAGCTACCTGTCACTGTCACCCGACACACAGTCAATAAACGTCAGACGAAAATGGAGGAAACGTGTTGGCGGCTAATTATATCTGGAATAATCATTATTTTATTTTGATTGAGTCTATTAAAGTTTCGAATTACTTAGTACCTTTTAACTATTTTTTTTTATATCAAGCAAAGAGCAAAAAAGGTTTTGTTTAATTAACTTTTTCCTATCTCATAAATGAAACCTAATCGACGTTATTCTAAGTTAAAGAACGAAAAATAAGTAATGGAATTTCCATTGAAACATTCAAATGTAAAACGAAAATGTAATTTCCCGTATTTCCGGTGTGGAGCCACAGATTCACAAAAACTCCGTTCGCTCACCGGAAGGGCCCACATAAATGTGAAATACATAAGCTCTCGAAAAGGTCTGTCATTGTGAACATTTTGTGTATTGTGATGTGCTACATCCATTTATATAATTTAAGGAAAACTATTACGGTACAACTCAAAGAGAAAGCTTTAGGTATAATAAAAATACTTGAACGTCACAATTGTGTCCATATTAGGGTGTTATATAATACACAATTTTAATCTTAATGTTAAGCTTATGGATCTATATACTATCTTCTTAATACATATATATAAATTGCGTGTCACGTTGTTTGTCCGCTATGGACTCCTAAACTACCGAACCGATTTCAATCAAATTTGCACACCGTGTGCAGTTTGATCTAACTTAAAAGATAGGATAGCTTACATCTCAATTTATACCCGCAATATTATTTTATTGCAAAATATTTGTTTATTATTTGATAGTCACAATTCTAACAGATGGCGCTGTGTTGAAAGTACCAACGTTTCAAATAAGCTACAATTTAATGGCATTACCACCAAAAAAGCATGGTGGTCCTCATCACTGATGTGTTCCTACCGGTTCACTTGAATAGGTTGATTACATAGTGTAATATAACTAAAACCTTAGCCACAGCATCGCTTGGCGGGTCTGCTAGTTTAATATCTAATATATAAAATTCTCGTGTCACAGTTTTCGTTGCCATACTCCTCCGAAACGGCTTGACCGATTCTCATGAAATTTTGTGTGCATATTGGGTATGTCTGAGAATCGGACAACATCTATTTTTCATCCCCCTAAATGTTAAGGGTAGTCCACCCCTAAATTATTTTTTTTTAATTTTTAGATAAATTACTTATTTTTTTATTTTTTTATGATACAGCATTAAAAAATACAAACAACCCCTAATTTTCATGAGCCCCTCTACGATCAACCCCTATTTTTTATTATAAATGATATACATGGCAAAACGACGTTTGCCGGATCAGCTAGTAAAATATAATAATACCTGTGACATTTCCTGCCTTTTGGAAGTCAACCTTTGAATATAGAGATTACAGCATTCTAATAATGTAAATGTTTTATATATAAACAGAAAATCTTCAAGATAAGAAGCTCTGTTGTTTTTTGTTCTCACTTAATCAAACTTAGTAACTTTGTATTTTCTATATAAGTGTAAGTAAACAATAATGATTGCTAAGTACGTACGTAATGTAAAACATATAAAAGTGTATCTGCCTTAATAGAGACTAAAAAGAACATTTTTATATATATAATAATTAATATAACCTATTTATCTTAATATTTATGAATAATTTAAGTATTAAAAATATATAGACAACCTGCTTTCTTTATATTAACATAGCACAAAAATATAAAAACAGGCTAATAATTCAGAACAACCTGAAATCGATTTCCGTTCACAATCGAATAAGTCGACATACAACCGACATTAAAGGTAACTTGTTCGCTGTGAGAACCCTAAATCTTGTTTGTGCCACCCCATTGCGTGGATAGTTAGCAATATATTCAACGTAAAACCGAAATAATTCGAACCGGTTCGTTGTTGGAGCTGCAATATTATATTAAAATCTTAATAAAGATAATTCATTTGTAATTATTTTAATAGGGAATATGTTTTAATGGATTTTACGGATTTTAAGAGAATTAAGTAAAATACTCATATATGAAGAGTAATAATTATTACTGATATTTATTAATATTTATGATTTATTTACAATATTCATTATATTTAACTATCTTTGTAGTTATTGTTGCTTGCGTTGCATTGTTTATTTTTTTTAATTTTGTATTTTTATGTAAAACCAATATATATAAGTTGTACCTCCCTTGAAAAATGTCCAATTTTATTTTTTAAATAAAGCTCTGTAGCTTTTACCGGAAGTGAAAAACCGGTATTGAGTAAACATGTCAGTGATAAACCTCAAAGGCCCGCGAATATGTTATCAACTTCCCACCCCAGCCAAAGTTCAGCACTTTACAACCAACCCAATGTTCACAAACCTACATTCGATATAAACCCTTTCAATAAAATTGCTACGATTATTTGAGGCGTAGTTTTTTTCAATTTTTAAATAAATTAGATAGCATTAGTTTACTTATACAGTTATAATTTATTTTCATTAAATAAACATTCAATGCTACTAACGTGAAGAATATTATTAGATAAATAAACAGTAACAAAACATTTCAATTCCGTTGTCGTCCGCTATTCGATCACCGCAGTATCAACAGAAGCGCCATTTTCCAATATTAAATCGTTAATAGAGGTGAGAACTGTCGAAGGTGACTAGTGCCCAGAGAGCAATGAAGCGGAGCATCCTAAAAATAAAAAAGATTCACATAATTCGAAGTGACCACATCAGGACGAAAACTAAGAACAGTACAGAAAAAAGCCGAAGCCACCACCACAAAAGCGATGGGCTGACGACATAGTTAAGGTTTCTTACTTCAGGAGGAGGCCTTTACCCAAAAAGTCTACATCCTAGGGGATACTGCAGAACAAAACCGAAACGGAAATAACAATAACTAACGAAGACTAAGAGTATAATAACAAAACTAACACTCATTTGATATGTAATTTTTGAACAGTATCGAATTAAAGTACCTCTTTAATAATAATATGGCTTTATTATTATTATTATACAGGTACTAAAGACAATCTTTATTGTAAATAGTTTTAATTCTTATCAACCAAATTTAAAGGAGTATCATTACAGTGCTCTATCAACTCCAAAAACACGAACACAAAAAATCGATTTAGGTGTATTAATAATTAAAAAAGCCTGTACACGTCTTTAATAAAACACCTCCTAAAAATATTTTGTTCCGTAATCCCTTTTCCACACTTCATACAAAAACAGAGCGTGACATGATATCAAATTAAAATCCAAAGCTAAGCGTTCGCCGAGAGCCAAAACACACATTGAAATATTAATTAAACCTTCACGTTGTGTGATAGAGCACGTAATTCATAAAAACTGTGTACTGTTCTTTAATTTAACTGCAGGTAACAATCGTTTTATTAACATAATAATTATTAAAAAGAATTTCTAATAGCTTTTGTTTATAAGTTTAAGGGTTGCTAGCGACGAGGCTTCGCTCTTTTGCTTCTTGTTTATTGGTAACAGCAGCTTGGAGGAACGGATACGTTTCTGTGTATGGTTCATTGTTGAGATTTTTTTATATACGCTTTCAAACGGTTCTTGTTTCATCGGAAAAACAATCCACGGACAGTGAAATTATTTAAAAAAATGTACCACACCATAGCTTACTGGCCATCTATAATATTATATATACTTAAAAATACCTTTTATTGTGAGTATAGAAATATTCCTGTGTAATTTTATTAATTACCTGTCGTGAATATATTATTAAATGTACTTAATTGCCGAGTATCGTAATTATGGCTATGCTAATGTTTAATAAGGCTATGTATAATATTTTTAATGATAATATTTTTCAATTGAGTTCACTTATTATAAAGTTTGTACATATAACTACAATATTTATGAATACTTAAAGAGATACACAAGAACATTTCTAAATGTAAGTTATTATTTAAGAGTACCTAGTAAAAAAATCAAAAGTTGTTTTAATTTTATTTCTTAAGTAAATCAGCACAGCAGACACACATAGTACCCTATATAACAATAATATATACAAATTTTTAACATACAACTGTACGTACCCATTAAATGCACCCATATTTTACAAAGATTTGTCACAATCGAAACTAGAATGTTGAAATCATGAATATATAATATATATCGTTTTGATTCTCATTTAAATTTCAAACAAGATATTCAAAACAGATGAAACCGACAAATACACACGAAGCGTCTTTCCCTATTCAACTAAATCATGTTCTTTGTGTGTCTGATTTGAATAATATCTTAATTATAACATGTTTCTATTCAATTTAAGCTTCATAGGAAATGTGCTTGTGACGTTCGTATCGTTTGAGTTAGTGGAATCTTGGACCATAACAACTGTCTGAAATTTCGACTTATGTAATAATTTATTAACTATTATTATTAATAATAATAGACTTTTATTTCAGATACTTTAACACTTAAACGCATTTATTTTTCAATTTCACTCTTTTTAGGTATCTGTATGCCCTTTTTTGTCAAAGGCCTCCTCCAAATCCCGCCATGTACCACCGCTGTTCTCCTAATTTGGTCTATCCGCCTTCTAAATTGTCTTTTTCTTTTTCGTTTATTATACCTTGTACTTTAATACTTCCTTGTTTCCTCTTGCCATGTTCCCACCCTTAAGTTTATTTATTAAAATAAAATTAATAAAACTATTATTGTGTGTTAATATTTATGTCAATTTATTTGCCAGGTTGTATGTATAAATCATGTTTATATTCTTCATATCACAAACGGTTTATTTAGAAGAAAGAAGATTTTGTCTCTCGATACACTCTAAGTATGAACGCCAAGCATATTTTTAGTTTGGTGTTCTACCTTACAGTGAATTGAGTGACTGAAGACATCAAGAAGAATTCGAGAAGAGAGATAATAATGAAGAAAAGGAATACGGAACCTCTGGAACATTATGTTATGCTTGAATACAATATGATTCAAAGCAATTAGTTATATTCATTAGGAGTGTTGAATGTCGAAATTGCTTACGGTACCCATAATTACCAAATAGAAGTTAAAATTTGTACATATATTGATTGCATTATTTATTTTTTGTTATACTTGTTTTCAACTGAGGCGGTTTTAAGTCAAAAAGAATTGAATTGATATGATTCTTAGCTTTTTAATTTGTAGACAAATACAAACTTAAGTATTCCAAATACATTCATACACTTATGAAATGTAGCACACGTGCTTAGAATTATATAATTATCCAATGCCAAAATTTTCATACACACAGGTCAAAACGAAGTTTAAAAATAGTTCAAATATGAAACGTAAGGCGAATATTACTTAACAAATAACATTTAGTGTCCGTATATTCAGAGGCGAGCATGAAAATAGCATTGCATTCGGTTGATGTTGCAACGTTGCGGGTTGTATAATTTTCCGAACATTTTCCACGAAAACAAGCTCAACTCTCTCATGAAATAACTTATTTTATTGAAATATACTTTGTATTCATACTAGATATTTAATTTGTATTAAATATTCTTTGGTTCATCGTCCATTCGTTGGGTTTTAGTGTAATAATTCATTTAAAGCGTTGTAAGTTCAGGTTCAATAATAATTTAATCTTCTTCTTCAGCCGCATTTCTGAAGGTCGTGGCATCACACAATTTCCTCCACTCTCCACTGTCAAGGCAAATAATTTAATATAACTTATATCAATAAAAAATAAAGTAGACAAAATGACTTGTTTATTCTTAATCGCCGTGTTATTCGTAGAACAATGTCAATGCTACGCCGTAGCTATCGAAATAAACATTCTACGCAAACGGACTGTTAAAAATATTTCCTTCATACTTATGAAGACAAATTATAAATTGGATTTGACGTCCGTAAGTAGTATTTGTTTAAAACATAATCGAAATTGGTTAACGCCGAAAATTAACGACAACATATATCAATAAAAACATGAGAGTAATATACTACGTGTTAGAAGTTAATATACTTCTTTGGCGTAACAAGATAAAAAAATTATCTTTCGACTTATTCTACGTTTGTAGAAAAAACGACACTAATAATAGAAAAAGTGACGTGTTGTTGAAAAGTTGTGACGGTGTGCGCGCGTTGCGTAAAGATTTACTCTCGTAATTTTTTCTAACGCGCCAAAAGAAGTATAACTTCAATTAAAAAAAAAATAATAATAGTAGTCGTCTTTACGACAACATACTCGGTAATTTGTAGTAAAACACAAGGGATTTCGGAGAATCGGGGCAACCGTAGCACTTAAACCGTGCGACACTCTCCCAGTTAATATTTTCGCAGCATAAGCCCGAATGTAAATACTTTATGTAGACCTCGCAGACCAAGCGGTTAATGGCAGGGGTATCAGATTTCCGTACCCCATTATATAGTATGCTGAACAAAGAAACTAAATTCAATTAATAAATAAAATAAATTATAACATAATAGGTTATAATGTTCATTACGATACACGTCAAACAAATATACCATGAAGTTTTTTAGCAGCCAAAAGGTTTCACTATATTTTTTTGCTATAGGCGCATTTTCAATAGACTATATCAAGTTATAATTTTACTAATCTGTGTCTGCTTGCTAAGCGGCATCCATACAAAATGTTTTACAATGAGTTGAGGTAAATTGTAAAGTTAATATAGTAATCTAAGTCAATGTTATAAAAAATCGTATATTCGTAATAGTCTTAATATACATTTCGTACCAGTTTTTAAATAACTAGCAAGAAACTCTTCATCTTTTTTCCATTTGGCCACTCTTTTTTAATTGCTATGTTTTTTATAAAGATTCAATAATCGATATTGGATCACTAAACAAGCAATGTCGGTTATTATTTTATTTAAATGCCGAAGAGTAACGGTTATCCATAATTTCAATTACCAGTAAGGCTTTAGAATTAATTTCAACTGAAGTGGATTAATTAGTAGGCTTTGAATTGAATTCGCGAGGTTTTCACTAGCTTAAACATGTGATTTCAATGTTAAATTATGGTTGTTATTTTAATAGTTCTGTTGGACTAAATTATAGTGAACCCATTACTACCCATTATTAGAACTTCTGTATTTCTGAGCCTATTAAATCCGCTATGAATTGATATATTGCCGAAAATGTAATCCTGAACAATTGAGCTATATTTAATAACTTTGTTTTATATTTACGAACTAAGATTAATTGATAAATAATAAAAATAAAGCCCGTTTTATTTCCAATCATGACAAAAAACAAATTATTATACACAGCTTAGATTATTTTACATTTTTATAATTTTTTTTCTTATGCTTGTTATTCTATATTCTAGCTTCCTTCAGATGTATTGACAATTACGATAAATGTATATTTATTAACTTGGTCCATTTTTTTTAGATGAATTCTGTGAAGAATATCCACATAACTTGATACCAACGCCTGGCTACTGGATCGAGTGTTCAAGGCAGAAGATCGCGACAGACACGATATGGGACGAATCCGAATCAGATCACGATAGTGGACCAGACAGAGAAAATGAAAATGGTAAGTTATATATACATGTATGTAGTAGGTGGGCAGACTTGATTATTTTTAGTATGTTTTTATCAATAATAATTAACTACCTTTATTGTCACAGCGCAAATATAATTTGACAGAAAGAGACGAAAGAGTATTTTAGTTTAAAGAACGCATATATTACACTGATATAGTAATTATATATGTGTTATAATAATGCTAAAATTATCTCGAATAATCGTAATTTAGACCCAGAAGGTACAATTCCGCAATTTAATTAATACTACTTACACGAAAGGGCTGATTAAATTAAAACAATATTTTATTATACGAATATTTTTTATAAGTGATATTTTTATTTTTTATTACTTCATAAGTTTACTTATTAACACAGGCATTTTGATGTTATTTACAATTTAACATGGAAATTAAGTAAAATATTATAAAATAATAATATCAGTTTTTTTTGCATCATCAGTATTCAACAATAAGAAAACTTAACACAGAAGACGAATTTTTGTGAATAATGCTATAATAAAATTCAAATATAATTAAGATAGCGAAATACTCCAACAGAGTTATAAGTTTGATGGGAGAATTTCCATAAACTCGATCAATTTCTCGAGTGATTGATGGAAACCCCACGCGCCAATCCGTCAAGACAATGTGATAGGAAGGCGTATATGTGATTTGTCTGTGAATTTCTATTTCAAATAAATATTTTTTGGTAGAATATCATGTATGTAACACAATGGATTAAAGTGTATATACTACAACGCCTGAAAGTTTTGATGAGTTCTATCGTTAAGTAACGTAACGAATTTATTTATTAATAATAATGTAATTTAGTCAATAAATGCTTATAATAATATGTAAGGTACAAAAAAGTGCGTGCTATATGATTATCGACTTCGAACGAAATATGTAATTCTGATAAAAATATATAGTTATACTAGTGGACCCCACAGACGTTGTCCTGCATGATATTTAAAGCGATTAGGATATTAAGCAAAGTATGAAAGTACCGACTGCAGTGCCATCTGCCGGGCTGATTTGTGAATCTAAACCATTCCCAGATCCCCTTGAACACACACAAAAAAATTTCATCAAAATCGGTCCAGTCGTTTAGGAGGAGTTCAGTCACATACACACGCACACAAGAAATATATATAATGCCTCCACTATTAAGCGGAACAGAGAGAACAGGATAAGATTACACACACATCATCATCAGGCTCATCTAGTTATAATAGCTTGAAGAATTTTTAGCTATAAAGTTAAATTTTATTTATTAACAAAAATACACAAATGGCCCGCGAACCTTTTGGGCACTTGTATATATTCTAAATGCATCTGAAATGTAATCTTTGTTTGGCCATAGACTATGAATGTTACTCTCTAATCAGAGCAAGTCAGAATTCAAATAAAAGGGCTGTGTTTGCCTCTAACGAGGGGTTCTACACGGAACTTTTTCAATTTCGATTTTCATTGCCTGACTTTTCCAATAACTCTCCTTTAACAGCAACCTTAAAACTTTCAGGCATGTAAAATATGGACATACCAATTAGATAGTGATACGATTCGGGCTGATTTTGCATAAATTTCGATATATCTCACCTTTATCGCATGTTGGCCTAATGGCTACAGCGTGCGACTCTCATCCCTGAGGTCGTAGGTTCTATCCCCGGCTGTGCACCAATGGATTTTCTTTCTATGAGCGCATTTAACATTCGCTCGAACGGTAAAGGAAAACATCGTGAGGAAACCGACATGTCTTAGACCCAAAAAGTCAAACGGCGTGTGTCAGGCACTGGAGGCTGATCACCTACTTGCCTATTAGATTGAAAAATGATCATGAAACAGATTCAGAAATCTGAGGCCCAGACCAAAAGAGGTTGTAACGCCCCAGTTTTTTTTATGGCATTTTGGTAACGCGGTGTTTTATATCCGGCACAATAACAATAATTTAATTCAGCAAGATCGTCTACTAGTTTAAAATATTAATTGACTAAGACAAATAATTCAATACAATTTAGATGAAATTCTAAGTAACAAATAATGGATTATAGAAACAATTCTTGACGTACAAAATTCACGACACGTCACCAGCGTTTATGAATTCTGAAGATGTGCAAAGAAGACAGGGTGTCACGGCAAATTATTAAAAATGACACCTCGCTTTTACAAAATTATAAGGGCGCGTCTCAGTGCCGAGTTTCCTTTGTTACCCCGAGATATGGAGAAACATTTGTTATCATAATAATTTACGTGTCGTGAGGAGAACCAAAAGTGTTACTCTAATGGCTAAACGTAACTTAACCGCTAATCGAACAGTGCGTTTAAATTCCGACTGTAGACTAATAATTATAAAGTTCTTTCAGCACAAATTGTTTTTCGGTGCAGAACATCGTGAAGTTGCTGATAAGAAATAAAAATATAAAAATAATGAATTAAACTGATGCAGAAATGTGTCTCAATGCAATGCAATGCCGTAGAACTCGTAAGTGCGTTGTCCACGATATAAAACAAACCTTTTACTTGAGAACGAACATTATTTTCACTTTCTTAGAGCTCATCAAAGAAGTAGTAATATAAGCGTGAAGTTGTATGATTCAAGCTAATAAAAATCTATTGTTTCTTTGAATACGTAAATCTTAAAATGATAATTTGACAATTCAAATCTGCTTTGTAAACAGTTAAAGAAACCTTATCTGGAAAAAACAATTGAAAACTCTTCATGAGTGTGAATAAAATATAGTACTTCTTTAGATCTTGTTGTGAAGTACAATATTAAGAAATAAAACGACTTTTTCGAGAGTTAAGACGCGAGAAAGGTGTACAAACTTGGCTTTTGCATCAATAATGCGTGAGAATGTCACAGGGAAAATTTCTTACTCCCCTTCACACGATTACCTTCTTTGCTATATTTATACGTGGGTGGGAAAAATATTTTACGATTGAAATAATTACGAAACACGAATTTTTTTAGACATTTATCTTTTTGGTTCTTCTAAGTCATACTGTTTGAGTTTCCACGTAGGCTGTGGATTATAATTTAATTATTTCACTGTTTTTGAAGGGAAACCTCTTTAGGCGCATGCGGGTAAAATTTTTACGGATGAAACGCAATAATCATAATATTAGCGTCACAACTATGTGCAGCGTTTTTGTCGAAAAAAAGGGAGAGAGCGATTGAGACCTATTGAGAGAGAGTGAGAAGGGCGAATTACCTTATACTCGTAGAAATTTTTAAAATTAAAATTTCGTAAAATAAATTTATGAAAAATTAGTAGGTATTTTATATTTTATGCAAAATAATTTATTGAAACCTCAAATGACGAATTGTAAATTAAAATGGCACGTGTTTTTATTATCGAAGAAATAAATTAAATTTATAATTTGTATTAATTTTTGACACTTTTAATAATGACAATTAAATTCCTAACATATCTTCCTTTTTCCCTCCCTCTAAGTTTCGGAAATCCAAAGTTTTAGATTTGTATAAATATGAACAAGACTTAAAAATTAATTTGCCAAAGAAGTTTCACTCCTGACATGTGTACTTTGTACGCTTTTTTTATAGCTATTTTTGTTAACTGATGTCCTTTGTTCCTAAATTCAACACAGTTGGAACTAATTACTAAACTAAAAGTATATAGTTCCCTCTTTTATGCGTATGAGTTTAATTCACTTGTATTAAAATTTAAAATTAAAAAGAAATCCAACAAATCTGGTTTCACCATTTTCTTGTTCCTAAAACGGGGCACTACTAAAGTTTATCTTAAAGTTATTACTATTTTACTACAATTTTTATAAGAACACAACGTCGCATTAAATGTAAACGGACAAAAATAAATACTATCTAGAGTTGTCAGTCCAATTTCTCTGTTATAATTTTTGACAATACTCAAGACATGGCGTTTATATTGTCATAATGACAGCCCGTATGATTCATTGTATACCATTCCAATACATCAATAAAATACAATACATGAAGAATTGTAATGACCGTGCCACGAAGTCGGGCGCCGAGCATCTTAGCTGTGATAATGGGACCGCTCGATAGATTGAAAACGTGTGCCGAATGAGACTTGACCCATACTTTCAATAATTTATATATCGCACGCCTTGAAAAGGCGGTCAAGGGACTGTTTGGCACATTGCATTCTAGTACACGACGTGAGACGACTCAGGAGTAGGATTACTTTTGATAAAGATATCTTTCCTGTAATTCCTCGTTGAAATAATCATTCATAACGTCAAATTATGACTTAGCTGGCAGCTACCTCGGACAAAGAAGTAGTCTAGCTATTCAAAGTGGGAACGCTGCCAGTATCTTCGGAACCTCGTCTAAAGGGACTCCTTTTAATAATATATTTTAGTTATTATATTTTAAGGTTAGTTATTGTAATTGTTATATGGATCAATTGATAAAGCTTTAATAATTAATAGTTAAGTATTTCAAATTTTTATTCTGTGATATAATCTTTGACTTAATGGATATAGTAATAAAACAAGTCGATCGATTCATAATCGTAGGATAAAAATGTCACTAACAGTAATTAAGTTCGGTGGCGGTTGTTGTATGGATATGTTCAAATAAAACACCTTAAATCTGGGTAACAATTTAATTCTTTAAAACATGAGCTTATAACTAAGATAACATTAGGGGTAGTGGGGTTGCGACGCTGGATTAAGAAAAAACTAACTTGACTTATTAAAGAGTTCGTATATCTAAGTGACACTGATGTTATTGGACATTATCGGAAACGAGACTGTTAAATTACAATTTATGAGTGTGGTAAAACTAAAGGGCTCATATTGGCTTCAAGTGTGCGATGATTAAATAATAGATAAATATGTAACTTAACTAATGTTCGGTTACATAACTCAGTCTTAGTGTTATTTTCTTCATGCTTAATTTTACAAGAATTAAACATCACGTTTAATTCATTCCTCGATTATGTATATAACAGTAATTTTTTCACAAACTTAACAATTTATTTAAGAAAACAGTAACTGTTTTTAATCACCAGTTGGAGTTTATTATTTATTATTGATTTATTTGTTTCGTTATACAACAGCTAACATAAATTATATATAATAACAAATAGTTACACTGAAAATATAGCCAGAGATGGAATACATAATACATTTTACTACAAAAAGGTTCAAAAATTTACAAAATCAAACAAATAAAAACCTAATTTGGCTGTGTTGTGTGATGGTGTAAAAGAGAGGATTATCTTAACGCAAATGAAATAACCCTTAACTCCTAATAAACAAGTTAAATATCAGGCACATAATTAGATATCAAGGCCCTGGTTTTTCGTTACTATTTCTGTATTCAGCTAAATTGCAGTGTCGAGTTACATAAAGTTGATATGCAAATGCAAACTTCATATGTTTTGCATGTATTCAGAAATTACTAACTATATTTTGGTTTTAGTATTCATTTTTATTTATACTATCCAATATCGTTATAGAAAAAAAAGTGTTTGTAGGATAGTACTATACTAATTATGATCATTCTGACACGAGTAAAAAGGTTTATATAAAGGAAATAATTACGGATTTCGTGAGAAGTAAAGTAAGTGATATTTAAAATCCCATTTACCGGAAAACAGTTCAAAAATTAACTGTAAACAGATAACATAATATGAAAATATTTCTGAGTTATTTACTTTATTCCTGCTACTACATAAGTAGTATAAGACCGACGGTAATAAAAGCATAATCTGTTTAACAATGTGGAAGGAAGTTTCTTGTTGGCAAAGATATCGAATTAAACTCCTTTGAAACGTCAACTCTTCTAAATACCTTATTATTGAATTTATGAACATTTTCCCCTTCATAATATTTTGATCCACGAGTTGGTTTAACATAATTACAGTTTAAGATACTTGCTTTTAGTTTAAATACATTCTAAAATCTTTCAACTATACTTTATAATTAAATTTTGGGTATATAGCAAGCCCGTCTCTTCACGATGTTTTCTTTCACTGTTCGAGCAAGTGTTTAGTGTGCCTACAGAAAGAAAGTCCATTGGTGGACAACCGAGGTTCAAACCTACGCCCTCAGGGATGAGGGTCGCACGAGGTATGATGAATAATAACGAAAATAATTCGTCATAGCTCAATTTATAGGTTTAGAGTCACAATTTTGTGCCTTTTACATTAATAGGTTTATAGGAATCTAGGCGATCAGGCTTGCCAGTCCGAAATATTCTTGTGCAAAAAGCGATGGCATAGTATATCAAAATTCGTATCTAAGCAGACTTGTTACTGTTAGTGTTCTAAGAGGTGATCTCAGAAGAATAAGACACAAATAATATACGTTCATTCAGTCACTATAATGAGAGTCTCGAGATTCAAATCACATACAAAGTTAAAAGAAAATCCAATGAAACTTTGTACTTTTAAGATCAACGACCCAAGAACTCAACGAAAACTTATATTAAGTGTTTTACTATACTAAAGAATAATTTATTTCTTAAATTTGAAAGTAAAAATAATTATTTACTGTAGTGAACAGATTATATGGTTAATTAATTTATATTTTGATGAGTTGCATATATAGGTAGGTATACTATGGCAAAATGTCCGGCAAATAAAATAAACTGTAAAAAATATAAATAACAGCATTGCGATTTCAACTTTTTCTTTGGTGTACGCAATAATAATAAATTACAACCCCTGACAAGCTGACACAGCAATAAAAATAAAATTTTTTGTAAAACATCAAACGGAATATTGCGAAAACTAACTTCAATAAATAGTTTCATAAATTTTAAATGAATCTAACAATATTAGTAGTGATGGCGTAATGGCTTCAACATTGGACTCTCATCCCATAGGTAGTAGTTTTGATCTCCGGCTGTGCACCTTTAACACTCGCGCGAAGGAAAGCATTGTGCGGAAACCGGTGTGCTGGTGGGGTGTGTGAAACATCACGAAACAGATACACTACTCACGCGAACCACGATTGCTGAAAAGCGCCCATAATAGTAAATAATTATATAAATTAATGTTTAGATTCGTTATATATGAATCAGAATTCGAAACACCAAAAAAAGGTTTAAGTTGATTGGATACTTGTACGAGACTCTCAACGACATGCTATGGAAGAGTTTATACATTCTTTGGACAGATCGCCCGTCGCGAACCAGATAACATGGACCAGATCTGCAGGACAGATCGCGAACCCGCTGTCACCAAGTGACGATTCTCACTGATCTCCCAATAACAGCTGTGCAAACAAAGTGGAGGAATATCAATAGAAGGGCAGCAGGCACCCTAGTGACGCGACCGTTACCAATGAAGAATATGACTGGGAAGATATTCGTTAAAAGCTTTTTTATACACGTATAAAGTTTACTTAACTTGTAATCAAGTTTAACGTCCCACAATCGCTTGTGTTAGAACAACCGAAGAACAATAGAGACAAAAGCCCGCTCAAGTAACTCCATCCGATAATAAAGCCACAAAATAACCTCAGAATGCATTTTTACAAACGAGTTCTGAAATTTACGCTGCGCTTTCTAGCTTTTGTGGTTACAAACCGCTTATCCAGACAAAATCATATTTCAAGGCTTGAGGAGATGTAAAGTGCATTTTCACATTATTTATTTATTTATAAAGGCATTAACGACACACACAAACACTTACAGAGAATATAAACACAATCGTGCATGGGTGACAAGTGTGCACAACATTTAAAGGGAAAATTACAATGATAAAAGAGAAAATAAATTTGACAATAAAAATAAAAGAAAAACAAATATGCAATTTCAAATATTATCATTAAGTGTAAAGGGAACAACTCCACTGTTTATAATCCAAGATTCGTGTGTCAGGACTTGAGGCACACATTTCATTGTATTTGATACAATGTTTATTGGTAAATTATTTGGAATTGGAATAGTTACTATATCCGTATTTTTCTATAGTATCGTAAATCGGGTTTAAAGTTTGTTAAAGTGTAATTTTACTCAACCTTTTCTTCTGAATAATATTCAGAATCTTTTTTTTTAATTTTGAATAATATTTATACATCAGTCTAATTGCAATATTTTAGCTAAATTACTCTTTTGTCTCTTTCCATCAAATTGTGTTTGCGCTATGACGAAAAGAGAGAGATATAAACGTATTTAAATAAAAACTGCTCTAAGTCTACATTGACATTATTTTAACCCATTTGGGATATTTTAACTAGACAGTTTATAATTTGCATAAAGTTTAAGTGTGTGTGATTCTCAACTCTGAGCTAGCGAGTTCTCCAGTCGTGCACTAAAAAGTTTTCCGGCATATGAAACAGACAAACTATATGTTACTACTCCATATTAAATACTTACGTTCATCATAAGAGAAGGCTTTAAAAAGGAAATTGAAATTAATCAAAGGCATTAAAAGAATGTGTACGAATTTATAAGTCTTATATACACAGGGAAAGGAAATGAACCTTATTTTATCTTAATCCCGAGACAATCGCGGTAAGTGTGTACTTAACTCATTTATTCTCTGACACTGGTTTAAATTGTTTCATTCCCTTTCTAATTAGATATTGTGCTATACTGAAAATTCCCTTGATAATATCAAAATTTAGGTACACCGATTACTTTTGAATGAATCTGTTCGATTCAACTTCATTATATTTAAAGGAAAAAGCCGTGAAAAAGGTGCCTTTGTTATAATTGTGAGCATATCCATTTTCAAAAGCTGATTTTGGAGAAGCTTCTACAGGTCCTGAATCTGGAATATAAATCAATATCGAAGAGCATCTTAATATAGATTTTAGTTTCTGAGTAATTTCTATACAATTACGAAATTTAGTACACCTCTTTGGAAGCCTTTTAGTTCCTTATACAAAGGATAACTACCCAACAACGATAATTTTTATGTCGTTATAAGATTTTAAATACGATTTATATTCTAGCGTTTGCAGTTTTTCAATATGAGACGCTGCAATTATGAATAAAACAATTTAACATAGAATCCATGAATTTTACAATGTATAGTCAAAATTACCAAACACAAGGATGATACTGATTTTAACCTAATGTGTCGCCTGTCAGACTGAGCTAAAGAGATTATTCTGTCGTCGCACTTTACTGCTATTTTAATGAACTTGTATGTTCAAATAAATTGTTGAATACATTTTAGTTTTTTGTATTTTTGTTGAGATTTCTTTACATTTTCAAAAGTGAATATTTTTATATTATTTATAAAATTTTAAAAATAAATCCCAACTAAGGAACTATAGTAATAGTATACATATATGTCTCTCAACGCCTTAGAACCGGCATCCACCCGTTCTTCCGAATATTTGTAAGTTTTTTTTTATGACTCTGGCACGGTTTGTGCATTAGCCAGCGTCAAGTATAAGATTTTTATAATTCGTGCTTTTTGCCTTAGAAATTCGACCATGTCCTCCATGTACGGTTTAGGCACTCGCCCGGTACGCACAACCCTCCCAAAGGCCAAGAACAAATTTAAATTAAATTAAAACTTGCCCTCGAACCGGGAATCGAACCCGGTACCCCTCACCTACCTGCCACTTAATAAGACCGCTAGGCTATGAGGCCCCTTATTTGTAAGTTACTAAAAAAATCAAAATATCAGTTGGCTATTTCTAAAATATTACAAAGGTCCAAATAATAACCAGAAATATATTTCCAGACCGTTACCGAAGATCCGGTTCCCTTGACGAAGCGGCGGAAGACAGTGACAATGGCGGAAGTACGCCCAAAAAGAAAACCGCGATCGAGGAACAATGGGAGAGATCGGGAGGCTTCGAACTGACCTCCGTGGAACAGGAGACATATGAAAAGTACTTTTATGGAACTGAACACTGGAACTACTTCACAAATGATGAAGATCTTGGACCTGTGATATTGTCTATTAAGCAAGAAACTCTGAACAACAGGGATCAGTTTAGGTAAGTTTTTTATACCAGAGGATGAAATGTTTTTTTTTATTTTTGTCTCATATCATAAAATCTACAACTTTAAAATATAAATCAACAATTGCCGGCTTGATCAAGATTAGTGTAAAAATTAATTTACCTAAATATACATTTCAACATTCATTATAATTATCTGTTAAACCTAGCCACCCACACTTGTCTTGAACTGTCCAGGAATTACGAGGTTATAACATGTACAATATTATATCAGGATACCTACAAACATCTTACCTCGCACCAATAATATACTGTATTGCTATCAATCACTCACATAATTATCTAACATCGTACTAATCAGTCACAACAATGTACCCTTTGCAATACACACGAGATTAACAAATTAATTTCGAACTAAGATTATATATAATAGAACTAATCAAGCTTTAGAAAGCGTAGAAATAAACATAGTTTAGTTTGATCGTCTTTTATTGTTCATTCACAAAGCTGTTTTTATTATATTTTGTATAATATATAAAATTACTTTTTTATCTGCATATCTAAAACTTATAATTTTTCTAAAGAACATATATATCATATATGATACATATACAGTTAATGGGTATATAACAATATCCTATCTCTATACTAATATTATTACAATATTAAAACTAGAAATCTATTCTCAAATGAATGGCAATAACAATTGCCGCAACATTCAGTGTTGAGTTTGGAACTGTGGGGAATGTTATGAATCTCCCAGCTGAGCTAAAAGGCGAGAACGGAATTTAATCAAGCATATTTTAATTAAACAGATATTAGAATAGCTGGCAAATTAGATATTCAATAGTTATCCTAATTATTTGCTTTTCTTGTACGTGGTGTAGTGTCGTACTTTCACTTATAATACCACAAGAGCTCGGCCAATAGAATTGCACCATGAGACGAAATGTACAGTTAACAAATAAGAATTTCATAATGAATAAAACAACTACTTAATACTTTTCTTGAAGCAACTACCAGAGAAAATTTTCAAAAAATTATCAGTATAATACCATGTAGGTTGTACCACGTGACGTCGAATGGTGCAATTCTATTGGTCGATATTTGGGTCGGAAAAATAATCAATGGATACTTTAAAAGACGCGCTAAGACCTTACGACTTTTATAAAGACGAAGAGTCTCTGCTTGTTGACTTGATAGAAGATTAAAAAGGCCTATCACATTGTCATAAAACAGAAGTCAATATGATAATTTATAAAAAGTCAAATTATGTGTTTATTGTTAAATATATGTGTTTACATTCCTTGTATGAAACATATTTTTTATAAATAAATTTAAAAAATGTGTTTTTTTTATATCTTAGTAGTGTTGGAATGAAAAGCTAGCAAGTTTCAAATGATTTAAATAGAGCTAAACGGATAAAAAAACGAAAACATGTGTATTTTCAGAGGTTTTCAGTTATCGTGATCAACGAGTTATGTAAATAACGTATTTAATAAGTACGTGTTATATACCAAAAATAATATTTCTAATTACCGTTTAACGCCTTAGATTTCCCTTAAAATCTAATCTTCTATAGATATAACCTATTAATTCACTCGTAAAAGAGCTATCACGTTAAGAGTTTTAATTCCGAGGGTATGGAAATGAGGGCGGAGTTCTTGATTAACTATCATCACAACGCAGGTTGATTCGCCTCTTACGCCGGTCGTAAATACAGCTTCGAAGATAACGGTAAGCGAAATACTTTACAACACGGAATTTTAATAAATACTTTAGTTAAAAATTCTTAAGTTCTGTGACGAAAATCTTGACAAAGGTAAAAAACATTCTTTATACAAACTGCGATAACGATAACAAGATCCTTCCCGGTTTCTGTATTCTACTACAATTGGTGTGTGAATCGTCGAATTTTAAACGAGGCACATTTTGCAGACGTTAATTAGAAATCACATTTTTTTAGAAAAGAAGTGTTAGCAAATGCTATGTATTTTGCTCACAAAAACATAAAGACTTGCAAGTTCGGGACGTAATTTCAATCTATTATGTTTTCCTTAAGCACATCATACTATTTAGTTAACACCGTAAGTTGATAGCTAGAAACATCGAGACTTATACAATTATATATGTTAGTCTATGTCCAAATACAATACCTTTTTTAACTTACGAAATTCAACTAATTCTCGACTCTATATCTTTCCTTAGTTAAAATACGCCTATAGCCTGTCCCTTGTAGATTTTCCAACGTAAAAATTCAATTAGTGTAATGTGACTCAAAAGGTGTAACGTTGACGGTGTGCTCCGTCTACCATAATTTCCTGGCATCGTTAAATATTTTGTGACCCTGTTTCTGACGTTCTTTTCAAATTAATTTTTTTGTGAATATAATTAATAGAAATTGCCAAATATTATACCAACTACCAAACTACTAACTTGTGGAGCAGTATTGGTAGAGTGGCTTTAGCGTGCGACTCTCATCCCTGAGGTCGTAGGTTCGACCCCCGGCACGGAGAAGGGAAAACTCGACGGCGTGAGTCAGGCATAGAATGATCACCTGCCTATAATATTGACAAATTATCATGAAACAGATTTAGAAATCTGAGACCCAGACCTAAAAAAGGTTGTAACGCTACTGATTCATTTAAGTTTTACTAAACTACTACCATATCATAACTTGAGTAAATTTGTACAGCATTTTAATACATAATACATATGTGAATCGTGTCAAATGTCTTATCATTACGCATAGCATTTTGTTTGTGAATTATTTGATCAAATTGTTTGAAGTTTGTGTACGTGATTTATCGTAATGTGACTTATAATATATGCGGAAATACTTTGCCCTGGGGTTTCTGCTTCGATGTGAAAATTTGAAAATCTTACATAAGAATATAAAAGCAATTGATGGTTAAAGTATAAACTTTAAAGAAAATTAAGTTAAATAATATTAATTATTAGTGATAAGTAATAAAATTAAGTTGTGGAATGGCTGCCCGACTCCATAGGATTGGCTACCTCCCTAACATCTTTAAAAACTCTTCTGCATAAACGTTTCCTAACCATATCCTATCCTGATCAATCATGACTTTTGTAATTTTTATATTTCCTTTTCTTTTGTATTGCATCGCCATCATGAATCCGTGAGATTAGCTTTTTAGTTTTTAGTTTGTTTTATTAATTTTTTTTTCTAGATTAAGGTTCTTCAATTTTTTATAAGATTTGGTTCTTGCACTTTTTTTTAGTATATTCCTTACTAGGGTTGCCTGGAAGAGATCGCTTGTTAGTGATAAGATAAAGGTTATAATTTATTATTATCCCATAAAAGCGAACAAATTGTCCTGTTTCCTTAATTTAATACATTTAAAAACGCTAAAAGACGAAAAATTAAATACCGCGAATATTTTAATAAAATATATACTTCATAGAATGCGAACACGTAAATATCTCTTTTTGGATAGAGAGCTCTCGGAATTCCCCAAATGCCGTCGCTTTCAGGTATTTTCATTACTCTCTGTCATAGCGAAACTAAAAAGGAGCGAAAGACAAATTAAATTTTAGCATGAGATTTTCATAACTGCATTAAGTTATTTAAATTAAAGTGTCTTACAAACTTTACTTAGAAAGGAAGCAACGTGAGTTGATGTTATTAAAGTTTTTTTAATTATCTTATTACGTACAACATATAGAACGTTGTTGGAAATTGTGTATATTTAAAATATGTCGACTTGTGTTAGTATATAACATATACAGTGACCAGAGCCGATGTAAAGCTAGAACGAACCGGTTTATATTAAAAACAGACTTAGTAGTTTAGCATGAGCAGCGTTGGCCTATTGGCTTCAGCATGCGACTCTCATCCCTGAGGTTGTACGTTCGATTCCCGGCTGAGCACCAATAGACTTTCTTTTTATGTGTACATTTAACATTCGCTCGAACGGTGAAGGAAAACATCGTGAGGAAACCGGCTTGCCTTAGACCCAAAGAGTCAACGGAGCGTGTCAGGCAGAGGAGGCATACCTATAAGATTGACAAATTATCATAAAATCGATCCAGAAGTCTTAGGCCCAGACCCAAAAAGGTTGTAGCGCCACTGATTTATTATTTTTATTATACCCACGGAAAGCGTTTAAAATTTTATCTGATTCTAAATTTAAATTTATTCCATATATAAGGAATTGCAAATCAGTTTGAGTACTAATAAAATCTCGTATATCGTAAGCACGACCAATACAAAGTTGTACATATGTAAAAGCTTACATTGTAAATAAGATTTACTTGAACGAACGACAAATAAAGTTCTAATTTGTTTCTTGTTTGCGGTCGGCAAAGTCCATTTGAAATCCAACTTGCGCTAAACTAATCCACTTTGTTTACGCCAAATGACCGATATGTGCAGGTAAAGTGCAGTTTTGCGGCCTTCTTTAGGTAAACAATAAGTATCCAGTAAAATCCAGTACACCAACTCTTGGTACACCATACTCTGTATTAAATCCCACAAGTATGATAGAGAATTGTTTTTAGAGAGTTTAGACGAATTTATTTATTTATTTTATTACAAGTACTAAAACACTATACACATCAATTACATTAGAACAAAAATTATGTTAATATTTGTATTTGGTTAGTGAATAAAGGCTTTTATTATTATGTTTTTTATGTAAAAACTAGGCAAGCCAGTCACTTCGTTCCATTAAGTGTTTGAAAGGTTTTTCTATTATTCACCAATTAACAAAACAAACCGCAAAGCTAGATTGATTTGTGCTTTAAGACAAATAATTCGATTTTGTTACCACAGCTTACGATCTAAAACTTTTCAGGATTTTAGTTCGAGCGATAAGTTACACAGTGCATGGTTTGATCCCAGCATCATGTGTGTTCGCGGACCGGTACAATCGCGAAGAAGTGGTGAGGTCTCTCGGCAAGGAGGTTAATATAAACCCACCGCTTATGCTGGGACAGCTGCCCGACACACCTGAGGAATTACTGAAGCTTGATCAGGTTAGTTAATAAATAGATAGACTTAGAGGAACATAATATCATGAGTAATTTGTTAATTTTGACTTATGGTTTTTCGATTACATACTTTTTACTAGAATAGACATTTATTAGGTATATTTTTTATTATAGTAATATTTTATCCAAGATAGAGATATATGGAGCCAGTTGGAGGAAAAAGAGGTCCTTGGAAAAAATACTTATGTATTAAATTTTAAGTGTGCACTTTTGTAAAGATGGTGAATGTTTCATGAAATAAATTAAGCTTACTTGTTATTATTATTAACAGTAATTTACTATATAATAGGTAAGAATTAATGATACACAGTTTAATATTTCTTAATAATCTTGAGAAGCCAACTTCTATTTTTATTTTAAGACGTTTGGACGTCTTTTTGAACAAAATATATTTAATTAATCCTACACACAAAATGCATACACATTACTTATTATTGCACATAAATATATTATATAATAAATATATTGCACGTAAATTTACATTGCTAGGCTAATTTTACGCGTATCAAATACTGTATATAAATTTAAACAGACAGCAAAAGGGATTCAAATGTTATCGTTTTATTTTTCTCATCACATATCGATGGAGTCATTATAATATCGAATCTAAAGCTTTATTCGCTCTTCGTTCTATTGACTATATCTGCTGAACTACCTGGGTTGTCTACCGCACTTTTTTTTATAGAACAGGGAGCAAACGGGCAAGGAGGCTCACCTGATATTAAGTGACACCACCGCCCATGGACACTCTCAATGCCAGAGGGCTCGCGATTGCGTTGCCGGCCTTTTAAGAATTGGTACGCTCCTTTCTTGAAGGACCCTAAGTCGAATTGGTTCGGAAATACTTCAGTGGGCAGCTGGTCTTCCGCCATCAGAGCCTACAGTCCTCAACAGCAGTGGCCTAACTTTATCATCTGGGGCCCGTGGCAAATCTGCTTTCGTGGCAATTCTTTTGATGGGGCCCTATCAGTAAAAATCGTCCCTTCTCAGTTTAATTTTAATAAACTTCCAGCGCAACTTCCATTTTCAGCGCACTCAATTACACGTTGTATATGTCCCACTAATCGCCATAGGCCTCCTCTCTTAGGCGAGAGGGAATGGTCTGTAGTCCCACGCTAGCCCAATGCGTATTGGAGACTTCACATTCATCCATAGAACATAATATCTCTTGGGCAGGGGCACTCTTGGGTCGGAGGCCCGTGGCATTTTGCCAACCCGCAAATGCTCAACAGACTAGGGTCTCAGCGATCTACAATTATTAAGAACGTGGAGTCAATATCAAGTTGCTCTTTGCAGAACTATTGAATAATACAATCTGTTACAAATCGAACCCTTTCTAAATCACAAATAAATTAGCCCGGGTACTCGGAGCCGATTGTTTTTTCGTTTCCCAATCACCGAATAAATATCCTCGCTCTCAGCCGTGAAACATTAATGAGAGCCGTTAAGGGAGGCTTACCCTGGGAGACCTCAGCTCAAACTAATCACGCTAATGAACGACAAGTTTTAAACAAGACGCAGCTGGAATCTTAACTGTAATTATTTATTACAAAATTCGCCTTATCTTATATTTCCTTAAAGGCGTAAAGGTTTTATCTAAATATTTTTTATTATAAAGTAGATAACACAAATTCTAGTTAGTATACATAATTTTTTCAACAATAACTTTTGTATAAAAAAGTGCGTGAGTACAAAGTTCACATGTCAGAAGTGAAACTTCTTTGGCAAATTAATTTTTTAAAGTCTTGTTCATATTATTCAAATCAAAATCTTTAGATTTGCGAGACTTAGAGGGAGGGAAAAAGGAAGATATGTTAAAAGTTTAACTGTCATTAAATTAATACAAATTATAAATTTAATTTATTGCTTCGATAAATAAAAACACGTGGCATTTTAATTTATAATTCGTCATTTGAGATTACAATAAATTATTTTGCATAAAATTTAAAATACTAATATTTCATAAATTCTCATTACGAAATTTCAATTTTAAAAATAGAATTTCTATAATGAAATTCACCCTTCCCACTCTCTCTCAATCGGTGTCAATCGCTCTCTCCCTTTTCTTCGACAAAAACGATGCACATCTTCGTGACGTTCCGTAAAAATTTTACCCTCATGCGCCTAATGCAGTTTCACTTCAAAAAATAACTATGCAGTCCTAACATTTTTTTAAGTCAAAATAAAATTAGCTTTGTAATTAAGAATTATACACATGGTAGCTTATGCCAGTAACTGAATTAGCTTAATTCACGGCCCATTTAAGATTTGAGTTTTGCGTATACAGTTTTGAAATATTCTTTGATTATTTATTTTTTAGCTCTGCTTCCTATTACATCAAATACATTGAATATAAGTACTTAGAGTCTGGGCAGAAAGATAATACAAGGGATTTGAGAGGTCGCAGCAGTGCTAAATTACAGCTTACCTACATTATATATAGTATTGAATTTTTAGGAATAAATGAAAAAGACGCGTGGTAAATAAGAATTATATTAGTTTACCGCGCACCGGTTTCATTTTCACGCGGAGTTCGAAATTTAAAAACCTAACCTAACGACAGTAAGAGTATTTGAAGTCCACCTCTATCGTAAAAGTTAGCAAGTAAATGTATTTCTTATTTCGAAAATACACTGAATTCATGAGCATGTATTTTAAAAGCCACAACAAAAGAAACCCCATTTAAATTTGCACACTTTCAACCCTACGATACATTGAAAAAAGAATGATATTGGAAATAAAAGTGCCAGATTCGAGTCTTTAAAAACATACCTTAATTGAAGTGTATAGATACCACTTTCGCGTATCACAAAAAGCTTTTGTGTGAAGTTTGTTCGATCCAGTGAACTGCCAATTTTCATTAAGGCCCGTCAGATGTATAAGTCAGAAGTTTGGTACTGTCCGTCCTTTTGAATTAACTGAAATGTCGGCTTTCATGAATACAACGGCTTATGCGAGATGTTATCTTAACAGTATTGCAATCACACGTTCAGAATTTAAACTATTCATGAAGTTTAACAAAGTTTTTGAATCGACTAACATTTACCTTAACGGCGTAATCATCTTAGTATTAACGTTTATATGAGCTAAAACAAAGCTAAAACGAACCCTACGATTTCGATTTCTGAAATTGGATTTAAGGGCAATGAGTGTTGGTGTATAAAAGTTTACGTAATGTAGATTAATTGTCTAAATTTGTATAACGCTCCAAAATTGAGAAGACAAATGATCGAAAGTTTATTTTCTTTTTCGCAAAAGCTCGGATACTCGAGCGAGTAATACGATTCCGAAACTTAAGTTTTCCTTCGTGTTCCATATATTTCGTGGATTATAACTCTTGATGTAATGAAATTAGGATCCAATGCCATTACAGACATGGCCTAATGGTTGTGGTTCTAAGTTTACATGTGCCTCCATTATTTACTTTACTGAATCAGTAATTGGATTAAGGTTTATTTGAAAATGGTACGTTGGTACTTGGCTTTTTGAAGTAATACTTCTTTTTGCGCGTTAGGGAAAAATGAGAGTATTTTTTACGATGCGAGCGCACACCGTTACAAAAACCCGACACCCTGAAGTTAGCTATAGTCAACATTTTGGTTTTTACCACAAACGTAGAATAAATTTTTTGAAAAAAAGATTTTTATCTTGTTTCACCAAAGAAGTATAACTTCTAACGCATGTACATAACAACAACACACACGATTTTATATTTTTATTTAATTTCCTGATATTTCTTTATTAATAAATTTGGTATCAAATACCATTTTAACTACGTGTAATATGTACCAATTCAATTTCGGTCATTAGGTCTTGGTTTAGGATTTCTGCATGTCATTATTTTTTTTAAATTTATACGCAAGGGAGCTTTTCTTCCTCGATTTTTCATGTAAAGAAACGAAGGCCGTTTTGTAGCCGTCATGATACGACATAATATTACAGCCAATGAAAATCAAACATATTCTCATCCTGTTTTCATCATCGGATGGGCAAAAAATCACGATTCGATGTTAGTCATAGACATAGACATAACATTTACTACAAACAAAAACACACACACAACACGCATTATGCTGAGGAGTAGAATGTCCCACAGCAGCTAATTTGCGCCTCAGTCGCAAAAAAAGAAAGACAATTTTTTTTTTTTTTTGACAATTCACACCAATTGACCTAGTCCCATGCTAAGCTGGTGAAGCTTGTGTTATGGGTACTAGGCAACGGACATACATTCATATTATACATAGATAGACATATAAATACATATTTAAACACCCAAGACCTAAGCACAACATCAAATGCTCATCACATCGATGTTCGTCTCAGCCGGGGATCGAACCCGGGACCCATGGTTTTGCAGTCAGGGGTACTAACCACTAGACCAATGAGTCGTCAAAATTGAATGTAATAAATACAATAATAAATACTTGTAGAAAAAAAATAGTAATAATAAAAGTCTAAGTTAATATTTGTGTTTTCATAAAATAAACGTATAAAAACAAAAAGCTTTACGTGTATTAAATATCGCATTGGAAGCACCGAGTGGAAACCTGTCTCAATTTATTATTGACGGACACTAGGACTGCTCTGATTCGACCTCAAGTTTATATCATTTTATATTTTTCCCAGAAGTACCAACCATATGTTGAACGTTTTATGATATGAAAATATAATCTAGGTATATGAAATGTGAATGAGTACAAGTGTAGATCAATAAATTAAGCAAATGAGTAGTTTCATTAAGTACTTGGCTAAATCATATCACGACAAGCAGGTTGCAGCCACCTGCATTTAATATTGCATTATTTACTATATAAGACTGATTTCCAGTATATACGAAGTTCTTAAACTACCCATTTTTTTTTCATTATTTTAACGTAGAATTATAGCGTTTATATAGACTAATAGCTTTAAGTTCCTGAATAAACTAGCATACTAAAGTTGAGACGGAGTACCTAATCATGTAATAAAAAGTACATCAAAGTAGTTCGGGGGCAAAGAAATATGTGTGCTTTATTAAGTAGAAAGTCGTAAACTGTTCTCTCATCAGACAGTGAACTACCCTTGTCTGACACTATAACAGTGTTAACTAGTGCTTTAGAAGGTTTGTAAATTCTTATTTTTTAACACATTTGAGGTATGGTTTAGTTGGTGACGGTGTGTTATTTTTCTTTGTAATATATAATAACTATAATGATACCATTACAACCACACAAATGTAATTAGTCGTACCACGATCAGTTTAATTTAACGATATAATATGTACTTAAAAAAACGAAATCAACAGAAATGTAATTATTTAACTAAAAAATAAAAAATAAAAACAAATTTAAAAAGTTTGGTCCCTGAGGCGGTGTACCTTTACGCTGGCAGCAGTTCCTCGCTGTGATGCGATACTTATTCGTTGAGCGAGGAATACACCAGCTCTGGGGTCACCTATCTACCAGGCGCCAACTTAAATCTTTAAAAGCGCCTTGTGCACGTGAACCCCGCGGCACAAGAGTCTCGACACCAAACGGAAAAATATCGAAGTTGGAGAAAATATTTCAGTCGTTTATTATTTCCCGCCCGCTCTGCGGCCGCGCCAGCATTTTTGCTCGTCCGAGTGAGTTGAGATGGGGCTAACGTGTCTACACAAGTAGCATCCCATCAATGACATTCCATCCGGCCGCGTGCCATCGTCTCTAGCGATGCCTCAATAGCCAATGCTTATAACCATAATTTCTTTTTTTTTAATTTATATTTTTTATGACACAGTGTTTGTTACAATAATTGGTTAGCTTGAGGTATTAGGTTACAAATCGTGGCTTTGAAATATGAAATACTAATGACGCATCGCACCCCATTCTATCGGAATGTGAGAGTTTTGTACTAAAGCGAGCACCTGCGTCTACGCGCACACTTGTCTACTATATATCTATCTCTATCTTCAGTTTCTAGGACTGAGTTTGCCTTCGAGAAGTTTATTTCATTTATTTATTTATTTAACGCTTCGTTGAAAGAATCATATCAGAATAATTAAATACTAAGGAGGGCAATTTGTATGTACAATAATTTATATTTTAACTCCTATGGGTAAACTAAAAACTATTAATTAAACATTTACAGCTTATACTATCTTCAACCTTCTGTAATATCTTAATTCAAAGTCTGAATTTTCATTAAATATTAATGAGTATGAGCTTGTCTAAAACCGATACTTAATTTCATTATTTTAAAGATTATTTATAAGACAGAATGGAATGAAAATTAGTGACAACTTAACCGCAATTTTGGTGGTGATAATTAATTTTTTTGTGTTAACATTCATTAAATTATTATTTTTTTCTTAATTTTATAGAACCACATTCGCAAAGGTTCCTAAATATCCTCCTCAATAATAAATATAGTTTATCATTTTGTTTAGCTTCAAATGAATACATAGAAAACAGTTTTATATAATAAAACTAATGACATATAATGAAAAATAAATCTTTATATTTATTACATATAATGGCGATTAGGAAAATAAATGACTTCTACAATACACATATTTTTTTTGTACTAATTCATACCAAAGTGAATTTTCTTTCACACTTAATCCCATTTGGAGTGTTTCTGCTTACTGGTTAACACCAGACCTTGGATATGGATACATATAATACCTTCACTTAACCCAGAAGCCTCCATCAGTTTGTCATTAAACAACAAGGTTGAAGGATCTCTTCAGTGAAATAATGAAGGGCGTCTCTCGAGACTCAAGACCAAACGCTACTTTGGACGAGACGCGGAAATAGATTGCCGCCATCGTAATTATCTGATAAATTAGCTGCTCCGTCGCCTTAATTACTGAGAAATAAGGCTATTAAAGATTATTGTAAACTTATTTTCGCGATTTTCTTTTAGTAATTTACATTATAAAGTTGAACGAAATTGTCTTTTAAGAAGTCATTCTCTACAAGGATGTTTAAAATTGAATAAACAATCACCAAAAAAGATTGAAATATGTATAATACGTCTTCTCAATTTCTTTTCTTTTTCTCAAAGTAAGCTAAGTAAATTAACTTTTTTTTAAAGAACAGGGACAAACGGGCAGGAGGCTCACATGATGTTAAGTGATACCGCCGCCCATGGACACTCAATGCCAGAGGGCGGTGCGTTGCAGACCTTTTAAGAAACCAATTGTTTATCAGAGACTGTCCATTTCCATTTCCATTTGTGATGGATTGGATGACGTCGGAAACCATGATTTGCCACTTGGTTTACAGGGACCAGACGTCAGATCTGGAGCGGTCCTGGTCGTGGATATATTAACGACTTTAATTTTTATGATAAAAAGGAACATTCATTCATTTCTATTATTAATTCCTTGAAATCTCAATAATCTAGTCAAAGATATAAAATTGAAAATTTAATTTATTAATGTTATGAAAAATTCTAGGTATTCATCAAGTCGGAGCTAAAAGTCGGTGTTATTTACGTCAAAGAGAACCAGTACACTGAAGAGGAAATATTAGACAATAATGAAAATTCGCCGCTCTTCGAGGAGTTCCTACAAGTGCTTGGTGAAAAAGTACGATTAAAAGGTATGCCTTTCTTTCATAATATTTTTGTAATGGCTTTTGTTCTTACTGATTTTATTATTAGACTAGTTGTGCCCCGCGGTTTTCTTCCTAATGCAATGGTAATTCAGTCGTAACGTGAGAGTTATACATATATAGCCCAACGATAACCAAATTCGAGCGAGCAAAATATGCTTTCATTTTTTCGTAAGGCGTAAATTCAAACAAAGTATAATAAAGTGTGTCCCCATTTCATGATGTTGAAGCAATAGCTGAGCGCTTCTTCTCCAAGGGACAGTTGAATTCTCGTGTATTTACTTTCATTTATTTGACCATACGTATTACTATTATTTTATATCAGCCAGATATCACCATCGTCATCCGACATTTAGATCTTTCAAAATTAGACAGTGCCCACGTCCGGCGCAGGCACCGATCAGACAGCAGCTGGGGCTTATTGTTTCGACACGAACTGTAATTTTCATACAAATTTAGTTTTCGACTTTCTACATACACTTCTGTTAAAGCATCTTGACTAAGCCCCCTGAACTCATCGATCGATGCAACGCGCTTCTGATAAATTGACTTTGACATATTGAATTGACAACCTGAAAGATGTCTATGATATTGCGTGGTGTTGCGATACTAATAAAGCAAATGGCATCGTATTCTTTTATTACATTATCTCTGACATATATCAACTTGTTTTTGCTTCTGGCAAGTTACACCTTTACAATGGCTTTATTACAGGTTTTGACAGATATAAAGGTGGTTTGGACACTGTACACGATTTGACTGGACTATACTCAGTGTACACTAACTGGCGAAGCATAGAAATAATGTTTCATGTGTCAACACTGTTGCCATATGAAAGGCACGATCCTCAAAAGTTACAAAGAAAACGGCATATTGGGAACGATATTGTATGCGTCGTGTTCCTCGAAGCTGATAACACTGCGTTCTCGCCTGCTTGTATTAAAAGTCATTTTCTGCATACGTTTATTTTAGGTGAGTGCTTACATCTATGTAATAATACAGCTTTGTAGCAGAAAGAATTATGATCACCTTAAAGTTCTGGATTTGCTTCTCTAAATGAATAAAGTTCTAGCGGCCTGATCCTGCTTTTAATGACTAGACATTTTTTATATATATATTTATATTACATTATATTTTCAAAATAAATATAGACAATTTTTATAAGGGATGATGTAGCATTCTAATAATATAATAAAAAAAAAATATAAAAAAACCATGGCGATTAAAAAGAGTTGCGGAGAGTGTATTGTAAATGTAAATAATAAGTAAATGTAAAATTAGAAGCATTAATATGTATTTCTTTACTGACAAGTCATAAGTGTATTGTACAATGTGTTACCTACATGATTAAATGATTTTTGAATTTGAATTTTGAATTTTTATAAAAAAATTGTTAATCAGTCAAGTAGTAGTTTTGAGTATATTCAACAAACATACAAAAATAAAATTTTTTTATTGGATTCGTATATAAATATATAAAGGAATAGTAAAAATTATAATTTAAAAAAATATATCTAGTATAATGAATTATTTAGTGATTTACATCTTCATTTGACCATTATATATATTTTAGTACGAGTGGCAACGAAATCGAAAAAGCGACCAACAAGATATGAAGTTTCCGTCGTCACTCGTGATGAAGTGGGTGCCTATAAGCCTTACTTGTGGGAGCAGAGCGTCTTCGACAAAGGACCTATGTTCAGGTGAGAAACTATATAATCATCGTCATCGATGGCTATACAGCCCCTTAGCATTAGCCTCCTCAAGTATATTTCACCATCGCAATCTATTTCGTGCTTCTTGCCTCCAACTTCAAACCCCTATTGTTTCGACCCTTAACAACTCCATCCCTCCAACGCAGCCTCGGCCTACGGGTGTTCTCTTGTCACCAGGTTGTGAGTTCAGTGAGGACCATGGTTCTGTCGTCCGCCATTCGGTCACATGTCTAAACTACTTTTAAGCCTGTTGCATTTTATGAATTGGAAAAATCATATACGTAAGGCTGAATTTAGTGTCACGCCGACCGCACGCGCACCGTCGGCGCTGATGGTCGAGATATATGAACTTCGAGAAAGCGTTTTTGAATGACGCGTAGCTATAAGCGCGCGTCGGCGCCGCGTAGCTGTCAGCGCTGACGATCGCTTGAGCGCCTCTGCTTTCAGAGAGCGTTGTAGTGTCGAACGGAGCGGACGTCGTCAGCGTGTACAGTCATGGCAAATCGCGAAGTGGATACAGGTCGAGTTATCGACGAGGTACGCCTGAGAAAGAAATTGTGGGATGCATCTGATCGTCAGCCCTCATAGTGCGATATAACGAGAAAAAGAACAAGGAGTCTTCGTCGTCGCCGGTTTTTATTTTTTTGAGATATGTAGTACAAAGCAGCAATAACTAATACACTCCGCATTTTGGCTTGCAAAGCTCAGTAACAAGAACTGTGTTATAGGAGAAACAAACTTACTGTTTGAATTATGAAATATTTAAATAAATCTCAATGTATATGTGGGGGAAAAATGTTGTGCTTAAAAGATCCTCGCATTCCTCTTTAAAGAGAGTATATTCGACAAATTTAAGCATTGGCTGGCTAGCCCGAAGGCTATTTCTTTTTTTTAAATAAAATCTCGCTGATGGCCTTAAGAGCTTTTACAGCTCAGCTCAGGCTGTTTTGTCGGGTGCAGCTCGGCCGGAATGGGCCTAAAAATTTAGATAACTTCATTAGCGCGTTTCAGGGTATGACGTAATCATATCGAGTTGTAACCAAAGGTTGTAGGTACATTTATTTATTTACAGCCCATAAATGGTCAAATTTCAACAAAAATATTATAAAACTATTTTAATTTAATCCAACAAAATTTTCAATAAACCTTTTTCTATTCATTAATCTTCTCTAAGTATACCAAATCATAGTATAATACCCCCATACGCTTAGCAACATATATGAGAAAGCATCTTAAAAATATTTACAAAACAATTTTAGCAACGATATACATTATGTCAAAAGTACAACAATGGGACTTTTAGATAGAAACTAAACATTTCTAAGTAGAAAGTATTTTCAAATTTATAACGTAACATAATTGCATTGTCTATTCGCAGCAACTATTTTAACTGTATAATAATAATAATTTTGGTAAAACCGTTTTATTTAATACAATACAGCGTCTTATGTCATAACCCATTTTCCTCGCAAATAAACCACCCTAGATTTCAGCGTACCTGACGGCAGCGAGCGAATATTTCATATACCTAAACGTTTATTGGACAAAAATATTATTAATAATCAGAAAGACTGGATAAACACCTAAAGAGATAACTATAAAAAAATAGTTAAATCTAATATCACATCATTTAATTTCTAGGGAATGGCTATTAACGAAAATCGTGAACGGTGAACGAGCGTCCTACTCAGCTCCGAAGTTCGCGAGGATGCAGGAACGCACGCGCAGCCAAATGTTAGAAGACATTGTTGCTAATCTTCAGAACCACGCCGAGACCGGACAAATACCTAAACCTTATAGACGTGGTAAGTTTTTTCATATCTTACGTAAATACTAACATACAACTTGATTTATTTAATAAGATAATATTAAAAAAATTACAATTCGACATTTGAGATTTCAATAAATTTTGCATAAAATATAAAATACTAATATTTAATAAATTCTTTTTACGAAGTTTTAATATAAAAATATTTTAATTTATAAGGTAATTCGCCCTTCTCACTCTTTCTCTCTCAATCAGTCTTTAGACTTTTATCCTCATGCGCCAAACGAACTTTCACTACAAAAAAAGGAAAATATCTAATAACAGGCTTCACTACGACCTAATACTACTGTGTATGTTTGTATTAAAAAATAGAAAATTTCATATTTATTGTATCACTATGTATTAGTTAACGTGAGGAGAGATGGGTTAAATAAACTATACTAAAAAAACACCAAACATTCAACCGTCTGCCCCATCTGTCACCAGTAACCAAATCTGTTTTCAGGATCATGGCGTCCAATAGGCCACATGCGGCCTTCGTCACCATTACTGGATTCCGTACGGGATCAGTTTGAAGACTACGATCAGTTGGCTAAAGATTTCACTAGAGTATTTCTTAATAATGAACTGAATACAGCACAGAACGCACAATTGTTTGACGTTGTGTTCCTCGTGGGACAGTCGAAGCAGAAGACGCGGTTTATTGGAGTAAGGGCTATTCTTGGAGTAAGGAGTCGGTAAGTTTGTAAAATAATAATAAATTCTTTATTTACATCACAAAACAGACTACCTCCAGGCATAAATAAGCTAAATATTTAAATAATAAAAGTACTAAATTTGGAAAAACATCTAATTCAAAAACATCTCACAAATTAAAAACTTTTAAGACCTGTAAGTGCGAGCGAGCAGACACATAAATATGATTTATGACCCGAAACCTCAGTTCATAATGCGTCGACTATAAGCAATTTATATAATCTTTCAATTTTCATCACAGTTTTTCTTAAAAAAAAAAATCATACAGTGCACAACTACCAAATAAACTGGCACTAAATGTAAAATTAGAAGCATTAATATGTATTTCTTTACTGACAAGTCATAAGTGTACAATGTGTTACCGATATGATTAAATGATTTTTGAATTTGAATTTGAATAAATTCAAAAATTGTAACTGTTTAAAATACTACATTAGTACTTATGAATGTGAAATGTTTCCAGAGTGTTCCAAGAAATGCTGTACGGCATCCAAACGGGTTTCGGTTCCCCTCAAGTTCCGGTGGCGGAGCTCTTGTCTCGACCCGCTCCAACCCTGCTCTCCCCTACGCCGGCTAAACAGAAAAGCAGCAACTTTTTACAAGTACCAGACATTGAGTCACCCAGGTAAATACAATATGATTTTCAAAAATTATAACCAGAGACTAAACGAAAATAAACAATATTACCGTTCCTAATCCCTTCAGATTTTTTACTAACTAACTCAAAATTCATTTATTACAATAGAATAACTTACACGATTTTGTAAAAAAAATTTGACGTGACAACGTCTTATAATTCGATGGAGCCAGCTGCACGCACGAAAAAACATGACTCATGCGGCGTTACCTCGCTCTGAGGCGTTCCATTTAAGGTTTGAAGTGCAAGCGAGAGCGCGGATCGAGTGACAAGAGGCACAATCGGCCTCCGCGTTCGGCAGCGTTCGTTCGTAAAAAAATTGTATTTATGCATACAAATAAATGTAACTTGATCAATTCAATTGTGATTTCCATTTACCTCCTTCTCTACATCCATATAAAATATCTATCAAACAAATAAACTTAAAATTTTCTTTTGAAAAATGCAACCATTCCATCCGTAAACCGACTTTACTGACAACCGATTTTTTAATAAAGATTAAAATATATATTTTTTTTATTTGGTCGCAATAATTACCGAAATATTTATGTGAATTAAGTAAAACCGTTTCGACCTTATTATAAAACATATTATTAAAAACATTTTTAATATAAAAATTATCAAGGAGATTTCAACCCAATAACTATTATTCTTTTAAATGTACGTTGGCGCGTAGAAAGGAATTATTCAATTTTTTTCTTTCCTCCTAATGATGCACAATCAGTTATAACACGGACTGACTGGCCCAAAAGCCCCAGCAATTGGTCAAGAAATTGTATATATCGTTAATTAAAGGGAATTATATTGTGAGTTTCAGAGTTTGACGTGATCGCAGTGTTTTTAATCTGCGCGATTAGGTTCGCTACATTCTCTTTGCAAAGTACAATAATAATATTTAATGTTTTCAGACCAAAAAGTGTACCAAGTTCTCCGATGGTGAAGCGCGCATTTTCCCGCCTCGGGACCATAACAGCAGGATGGGGCAGATCCATCAGAAAACAACATTCGCAACTTAACGCAGATGATAAGAAGAAGTGGGCCAGTTCGCAAGATTGTTCCAGTGAGTTATTTTAATCTATCATATTGTCTTCTGTCCATTATGTTTTCTGTTTTTTTTTGTTCTTACAAACTGTCTCTGAAAATAATATTTTCCTTGTGTCTGTGTGTGTATTGTTAGTATGCCTTATGAACAAATAAAAATGACGAAATTCGAGAGTTGCATGACAATGGCGTGTCTTAAGATGAGACGGAAACTAAAGACTAGAAAAACAAGCTAATTCTGCCATCCAATATGTGAAAAATTAAGTTAAGACCCCAAAATGATGGTGGCATGTGTCAGGCACAGGAACACTTGTCCATAATAAAAACTAGTATATATAATAGAACTAAAAGAACTGAACTGAAAATATGAGGCTTCATAATTTTCACACAATACGTCATTGTACTTATATAAGAATTAATTGGCTAAAACAAGAGCGCACCAATTCTTAAAAGGCCGGCAACACACTCGCGAGCCTTTTGGCATTGAGAGTGTCACTTAACATCAGATGAGCCTCCTACCCGATTGCTCCCTGTTCTATAAAAAAAATATAATATATGTAAAAATAATAAACTAGGTTACATTACAAACTGTAGGCGTAAATACTATTATTTTCTACACGCAACAAAGAGTAATTGCTATATGATATTTTCAGATAAAGAGAATAAAGAAAGGGAGAAAGAGAAGAACGCAGCTTTAGCCGTGCCAAGGTTATCAGTATGCGCAGATGCGCAAAAAGTCGATCGCGCCAAATTAGCTCAGACTGAGGTAAAACTAATTAGAACTTTTTTCTTGTAAAACATTTTACAAACCTTTCTGACCTAACAAAGTTTTGAAAACTATTTTACTGATTAAAATTTCATTCCTATATCATTTCAATAATGAACACAGTACAGTACTGCTTTTTTTTACTATTTCTCCATTTTAATTCACAAGTCGTTCTGATTTTTCGATCGAAATTAATTCAAAAACGGAATCGAATAACAAATAAAAAAATCTGAAATTACCCTTCTAATTATTAATTTTATGTTATTCCAGTTCTCCATAATAGAATTCGACCCTGAAACATTCCGTATCCTCTTGGACTACTTACACACGGGCAGCTGTCCTCTCACCTGCGCATCCATTCCGGGACTCATATGTGCAGCTGAGCATTACGACTTACCAGAACTGCTGCAGGCCTGCTTCCACCACGCCAAGCAATTTCTGAGGATAGAAGTGGTAAGATACTGAACTTGTAAATGAGGAAAGATACTAAATCTTAGCTTGGTTTATCAAAATTATTTTCGATTTGCGAAGGAACCAAAAAATATTAGGTTTTATTGATATCCAAGATTTATTAACAATTAACATCAATATACACGTTTATAACTGAAATCAGTTTAGCAATAAAAAAATTTATTGTGAATTAATTCAATGATCAAATGAAACAGTTGTACATTAGTAAAATTTGCAAACATAAATTCATAGATTGAAGACAAGAAAGACTTTATTGACGTTTTAACTTTAATTTAAATTTTTATATAGTAATAGTATAAATATGACGGAAGAACAACACTCACCTCATACAATTATATAACAATGCTAGCGGGTCCGATACACGTTGTCCTGTACACAAAAAAATTGTAATATAAATCATTCTCGACTCCACTTGAACACACAAAAAATTTCATCAAAATCTGTCCAGCCGTTTAGAAGTTTAATTACGAACACAACACAGAAGATTTATATATATAGACCAGCTGTTGCTGTATAGATAAATAACTTAGATACCGACTGCAGCACCATCTACGGGGCTGATTTGTGAATCTAAACCATCATCCAACCTAAAAATCGGTCCAGCTGTTCAGTTAGTTTAGTTCAGTGATGTACAAATATAAAGATTAATGAGACTTTTATATATGTTTCAGGTGTGCACAATGCTTATATCTCTAGAAAATTACTACTGGAGATACACATCCGCCTCGGAACTAGTAAATATGATACTTGCATTCATAGAACAACGCGCCTACGCCTTATTCCAGACACCAGAGTTCCTAAACCTCTCAGAATCAATGGTCCAAATGATAATGTGCAGAAATCTCGAAGTACCCGAGGTCCGCAAATTTGAGGCCATGCTCAGTTGGGCGAGAAACAAAATCAAATCGAAATCTGCCAACAAGACTGACGCCAAAAATGAATTCAAATGCATCATGGAGCGGTTAGCGAGGGATCTGAAGCTGTACAGAATATCACCACAGGAGTTGATCAAAGTGGTGCTTCCTTCAAAAGCTATCAAGAACGAAAGAATCCTGGAGACACTAATGTACCAAGCAAATTCCGGGATGTATAGGATCCAAGAGGATTATATAGAGGCCTGCCAGCAACGTATTCAGAAGCAAGACTCTAGATTTTCCGAATTCGAGAGTTTTGACTACGGCATATAATTGGAGCTGTGAGGAATATCAGTGTATTAGAATAGGAACTGTCCTGCAAGAAAACTTTCGATAAATTTTAGTATGGCATAAAACAATCTTTGTAGAAACGTTCTAGATAAGAGTCTGATCTTCCAACATATAAAGTCTGTTATATCCTAGCAAAACTTGATAAACGGCATATGAATTGAGTCCTTTAAGAGATTCTGGATCTCAAGGCTCCAGACTTGAATCATGAAAAGTCGAAATTTTTCTATCAGGCCAGTTTGGATCGGGTTCTTCTTCGTGGAGTGTTGAAGCCTTCTAAAGTATTATTGTTGTAGATGTACTTTGTAGAGGTGCGAGAAATATTTGTACACTTCTCGGATACCTAACCCTTGTTGTTGTTCATTGATACCTATATATTTTATACATTAGCTAGACGTGTTCAGTATAATCATCTCTATTTTTGGTACCAGAAATTTGGAAACATGTCGAGTACAAAATCGTGATCGTAATACGCTCAGGAACTGGGGAATTTTTTTTTTCTCTTTATCATCGTCCTTATTACCGGTAAGCGCCTCCTAACTTTTATCAATAAACTAAATTCAGCAAGAAGATTTAAATATATCTCAAAATTATAGCCCTATTGACAGACAAGATCGCGGATGCTAATGATCAACTGTGTAGAATCCGTGACCATAACATTACTTGATTTTCCATGGATGTCATTTGAAATGTAATGGCTGTCTAGGTAGTTATTAAATTTGGCCATAATTGTTTAGAAGTAGAGATTTTCTTGAAAGGTGTTAAAAATGGATTCGTCCGTTTTCATCGGTAATGGGGTTTTTTTTAAATAAACAAACTTTTGTGGGATTATCTTTCTAATGTATATTTGATTTAAATTGATGATTAACCTTATATCTTGAAACTATCCGCCCTTGCAGTTAACTAATGTTGGAATAATTTTGCTCATTATATTATGAATTAGAGTTTAATGTCCCTTTTATTGCAATTAGATAAGATCCCCAGATTGATCAATTTAATATTTATTAATAGCATTGAAGAAATGAATTAAAAATGGCTGCAGCTTTGAGTATTTACTAAAGATTGGATTTTAAAGACAATATATAGCCAAAAAGTTTTAAACACAATGTTTTAAAAGGCATATTAAAATTAAATATGAAGATCGCTAATATAATGTTTTATTAATAGTAACTAATTGTTACGTATTTGTGCAGACTTTTTTAACGAATTCTGAAAACTTGGTCATTTTATTTTGTGCGCTGTAATAAGAAAAACGGAAGTAGTGTGCGAGTGAGAGGCGAAGAGAAACGCCATTTTAAAACCATTTCTTTAATGCCTGGCTAAAGTTAAAAATACAAAGCGACTGATGCATAAATTAAACAAAAATATAATGGAATTCTAAATGTTAGATGTTATATATTTATGAAAATATGAAAAATTGTCTAAACATAAATGTAAATAACAAAGAAAAATCAACAAAAAAATCTTATGTTTGTGTAGATGATTGTAGTACCTCTATACCTATACTTTCGATACTTTGACAAAACCAACCTTTCTGTTATTCATCACCCAGGTTCTATATGTAAAAAATGATTCGTTATTTCGACGTATCGTATATTTACGGGGAATTCGACATAAAACACTACTACTTGTGGCAATTACGAATTGTGCTTTCCTTATAGAACCCGGCGATAAATTAGATTTTATAATAATAACCAATAAGTCAAGCTTTAAACTCTACCTGTGTGCCTACTATGTAAACAATCTTGGTTTTGAGCGCCTGACACTAAGAACGTGCGTCGTAGAAGCAACATGCAATCAAATTTAAGCAGGCGCTTTTGTCCCCGATAGTGTCATTTTTACGCGCTCTTCCTTGTTTAATTCCTTGTCTACTGCATTTTCTATGTTCAAATTTGTGTACTGGCAATAAATGTGTTTGTTCAAGAACCGCATATAATATGTTATCAAGGTTTGCCACAATACAAAAACATTTTCGTACCTTAAAGTCTAAAATACTTTTTTAAAAATATCACATTTAATTTTAATTGATATTATTGTATTTCTGTTAGGTGATTTGAACAGTGCTTTGATGTTATTTTTTTGGTAAAAATTTTTAAAACCTGGGTCTTACTTTAAAAGTTCTGTAAAAGGCATAATAATATAAAAAACCTCTTGTATAGCATTATTATTGAATAGGTGTTAATAAGAATATTATGTAGCCTAAAACATCAGTTTCTAAAATCTGAATAAAATTTAAATGAGTTGGATTGTCAGTAAAAATTTTATACTTGTAAAAATCTTGTTGTGAATGGTTCCCTGCTCAACCCTGCTCCTTAATAATCGTAAATCTTCAAAGTATTATATAGCTTTCTCCTATTATTTTTAAATACTCGTAAAATAAGTTTGGTTCATGGTAACACCAAGATTCGTCAAGCTATTGATATAAGTTTTCTATTCCAATATTTTACCTTCCCGTGTTTGTGGATGTTATTAAACGTATGAGGTACAGATCTTCAAATGGTACACAAATAATAGTGTCTATAACTGTTATTTTGCGTGAGCAAGAATATTTATTGAAATTTTATGTGGTGAATAAATTTTTTGTGTATGATACAGAATTATCATTTATCAAAAAGAACCTATAAGTAAATTATAATAAATACATTAAGAAGGTTAAATAATTGATTATAGATATTTAAATAATGTTCTATAATAATAAAATATTAATACTTTCACAAAAATAACATTATAAACTCCTGACACAGTTTCAGAACCTGAAAAGTAAAAATATTTAAATGAATATATTAAGTGTTTACGATATAAATTAAATACCAACTTTGAACTCAAAGATTCAAATTAATTGCGGAATTTGATAATCGACATGCAAGGGAAATAGTCTGTGTAGTTAAAAATGTTATCTGTGGAAAGTCCTAAAAAGAAAATGTCATTGTCAACAAATGGCATTGAATATAAATGTCATTTGGTAGATGTCAATGTCAACCGAAATGCCGCCGAGAATGCTGCCAGTTATAAATTAATGAAGCGCAGAACGTTACATAACCGTGAAACCGAACGCAACACAAGTTCCCCGCGCGGCCACTAGTAGCGCTCGTGTGCCAGTCTTTTCGCAGCAGGCGTGCGGCCGGCTGCTTGTTGCAGTGCGCGGTGCGAACTATCACATACGAGTTCGCGGTCATAGGCTCGAACGAACATCGAAATCGACGGTCAGTGCGGTGACCATGATGATGGACAACGGGGTGATGAATAATCATTATGATGGGGGGTATACGGATGGATACATGGAACAGGAGGAGGAGTGGGAGCGCGAGGGTCTTTTAGACCCGGCATGGGAGAAACAACAGAAAAAGGTCAGTTAACACCAGCCAAATATTTGCACATCGCAAAAGTATTACAATAAAGAATAAGTACAGCGTTATCGCTATCGTGACTCACTTTGATGGTGTTTATGTTTTCCCTTTCCGATTTGGTTATTAAATTATCACGGCAGCAGTATTTATTGCAATTCGATACGTGTTTATATTTTGTTACGAGTACCAACATATTTTTTAATGTTATTATTCAGTGGTATTGTTGAAGAATATGTAATTTAAAATAAAACGTATAGCGATGCATTAATTATGCGATGGTAAATTAATTAAACTGAAACTAGACAATAATTCAAATTCTCAAAAATTATATTATTTAAATTGGTATTACGCAAGAGTAATTAATATAGCGTATGAAATCCCTGAATTTTCATATTGAATTTTGCTCATTTCCCGCCGTAAGTTGAAAGTAGATCGCGGCCGTGGACACTATTAAAAGATTTCTTGAAGCTTTTCGTGCGAGCGAGATAGATGCACACTGTCACGCCACAAGCGGGAGCGGGTCGGAGCGAGAGGAATCGAATTTCCGTTAGTCATGTCCTAAAATGGGTCCGGCGCAGGCGCCGCTGAAAGCGCGGGCGTCCGTCTTTGCGTCATTATGAAACCCGCATTTCAGGGAAACGTTTGGGTCCACCTTGACTACGTAATGCATCCCTAAGGGGGCTATTTATGTTGCTCTTCAGGTCTGTGACGAATGCTCTGACGCACCTCGTGAGCTCGAGGAATGTCATTAACGACTTACGAAAGCAATCTCCAGGGCCATTTCATAATATGAATAAGCAGTCAGACTATTATTTAAAGATATTCAGTTGGCTACAAAGCCAAACAATAAAGGTAGATCACAACAATATAATCTTGTATCAATATCCTGCATAATTATTTCCACCTACCTACCCGCATTCTGTTCTGAATTGTAACATCGCGTAATACGTCCTAACGATAAAAAAAATGCAATCATTCTTATGACAGCTATCTAGATGCCTTTACGAGATTAGTTGTCTTCCGACAGAACCTCATTAAAGAACAGTTTTCTCATTGATTTCTTATCATCTTCACGTCATGTTTTTGCAAAGCGTAATTACGTTAGTTATTGCACGTGAGGTCCTGTATTAAGCGACAGGACAAGTCCAACATAAACAAAGAGGCTGCGACGATCGGTGCATTGGCCGTTCGCGTATGGCGGGTCAATGTCGCGGCCATAACTCGGGATGCCTCTTCGGAAAACTCACCCAACCACTCGTAGGCTTAAGAACATAATACCACACGCAATTAAAGTTACAATATTAACAAGGAAGTCGTGACACATTCGAATTACCGAATTGTGACTCATTAAACTTTCGGACAACATGAGGTCAAATGATTCTGCGAAAACAAACATGAGCGTACCTTCTAACTAATAAGGTATGTCAAGCGTCGTAAACGTCGAAGAAATCAAACGTGAAAGTGAGGCGAGTTCAAAACTGGTTATAAATTTAAATAAAACTATTGCGCCTCTCTCCAGTGACACACCTATCCAATTAATTTTCAATGCAATTTCAGATAAATCAGCCCACGACTCGCTCAGAATGCTGTTGTTATTCAAGTCACCTTTTGCATATTGTGGGTAGTAATATATAATTCAATTTGTGGACATTTGTCTATAAACTTAGTGTACATTAACACCAAGTTGTAAATGTACTAATTGTATTACAATGTATCTCCCGATATAGTTATTTGTAAAAATTACCCGTAACTGCTGCTCAAAACTTAAAATATCGTAAACAAAATATTGTTAATCGATAAATTGTAATCGGTAGGTAGGACAGTAGATCATATTGTTGTATGTTTATCTAAAAGTAATACGCACTTACGATCATAAGATTTTAGATTCGTTCTATCGAATTAGTAATTAGATACTGTAAAGATAGAATAAGGATATGGAATAAATAAATAAATAATAAGATTATAGCTTTTCACTAGCGAGATTTTCAAGCGTAACTTCAAAAGATTAGTATTTTGTCCTCAAAAGACATGGCAAAACGTTCTTAACTACTCGTGGCTTATAGTTTATAAGACCGAGTATTTACTAACTGTAGTTACAAAGAATAAGGCAATCCAATTAAAACGGTCGAACCGTCTAAGGTCAAAGCAATGTAAGAAGTTCTAGTTGACTCCCGTTGACCTAGAAATTGATACCCCGTTGAAGTAAGTTGGAGAAGAAATGAAATAACGGCATCTGATATACGATGCCAACAGGTAGCCATAACATTGCAACTTGATATGTTGCCAGCACTTATTTACCCCTTAGTTATAAACTCTTGTTCTTGATATTCGTCTCTACTTTAAATATGTACTAACAATCAACTAATTGACTGCCAGAAAATCTGATTTTTAATACCTATCATTTAATATAGGCTGAGCCAAAAGATAGCAAAAAAGTTATTGATAACGTAATATATTTATAATATTGTATTTGATTACACGCCAAACCCAAAATTAGTCTATTGTTTATTAAACTCCACGTTTTTAGTGCTCTTTTCATCACGCTGGTCTGCGAGAGACAGCTACATCAAGCTGACAGATAACTATTTGACAGTCTATTAAAATGTTGCCATATTAAACCTATTAATTACAGGTGATTTGGTATTATTAAAACGCTCCAGCGTAGTGAAGCAGCAGTTATGAGAATCACTATGAGTAGTATTTCTGTTATAGAATCATTTTATTTATTTACAAAAATTTTATCTACTTGTAATATTTAATATCAAGATTAATACTGTAGAACTTTAACAGTTAAGGTAACAACCTTAACAAAATAGTAACTTAATGGCAACTACGACCTTTCTTTCTGCACAGACTCTACACCCAACGTGGGGCCCATGCCCCACAGGGGGGAAATTTGCTTGTTAAGGGAGGCTATTCGAAAATTTATTAAAACTATTTAGAATCTTGAAATTTTGCTTACTGTGTTTCGTTAACAATTTCCTAGTGATTTCTTTAAAACCTTTCATTTAAGTTTCTTAAGTGAACAATTATTTTTTTATTATTAATAAAAATGTTATATACAAATTATAGAAAGGCTAATCACCTTTCTATGATTTGTAATCACCTAAAGGAAACACCGCTCTAAACAGTAAATATTTTTTGTAATACTTTAACACAATTAGTGTGAATATATTATAATAATAATATTTAAATTGTATAATATAGATTTTGTTTAATCCGAGCGACGAGTCTTAAGAAAGGGAATTCAATTTAAAAAAAGAACAATCCCAAAGGTATGTCAATCGTTACAGGTCATAAATTTAATCTCGACTTGCATTTTTGCTGCTACTTAATGGAAGAGTTATCACTTTGGCATTCCTTTTTATTTGGTATTTGGGGTCATTGGCAGCGATGCATTTTATTTTAAATTATATCGTAAACATCGACAATGTGAAGCGTGAAATTACGCTCTCATATATAAAAGTAAAACGTGCACAATTTGACAGAAAACATTTAATTAAAACAGTTTCACGAAAATTCGACTGAGTTTTTGTGAAAAAGAAATGAATTTTTAAAACGTTTAATAATTTTTACCATAAGCAAGCGCTTATCTGTTCAAACTGTTTTAAACCTGTGGTTGTTTAGATGTTAAATACTTTTTTACACCTAATAAGTTTGCTCTTGAGGACATAGTGTGTTTTAAGGTGTCATCCATCAAAATGTTACACATTTAAATTTGTTATTATAAAGAAAAAAACGAAAATGATTTATTACGAGAAAACATTTATTTAACTCACTTAAAATTGAATAAATACATCTAAATAATAATAATATTAATACAAGACCTTTAGTAATTCGTCAATTAATTTATATGTATTAAGGAAAGTTCTTTCATCTCTTACTTGGCATATAACTCAGACCAGATAACTACCACTATCATACATCAGTTTGGTTTCCCAATGCGATACTTACACCTTAATGTCGGTTACGTAACGTTTCACTTGGCTATTTTTTCCATCGCGTTCCCTAGTTTTTTGGCACAGTTCCAAAATTCATATCACTGATTCCGCTGTCTCGGAACAGACAACTTTGATGAACACGCTCAAAATTTTACATTTAGCGTTTTATGTTTTGGAAAATAGGAAATCAAACACGTGGAAAGTTAAAAGTAAAAATCTCAAACTTTAAGGAAAGTAACGAACATCGTCTAAGTAAAATAGCATTTTAATTAAGCCTCTTCAATCTATATCTAATAGTTTAATGAAAACGTTGCCACTTATATTATTATCATAATAAATATTTCTACTTCAGTATAATCAAAGAGAATTTAAATCCTAATGACTGAATGAAATGTTGTAGACATTCTCCACGCGAAGTCGTGAGATCTAATTTTTACCTATTAATTGTTCTAACGATAAAATTGTATTGTTTGGCACACTTTATATGTTAAGTATAATATAAAATAACAAACGAGGTTCCGTTATTCGTAAAGTGAGACAAAAAACCCAGCGGTAGTGTGTCCCGCCCACATGTCAACAAAGTTATTGAACCACGCGACCGATAACAATTCATTTTAAACCTTTAAGACTATTTTAAAAACTACGCCATAACAACGTGGCTATAAATTATTTGTAGGCTTCTCTAATTAAATATTATAAATACATATTAACATCGACCACTATTTAAGTCTTGACTAGTAAGCTATCGCGGAATATGCCTAAAGGTGTATTAAGAATATCCATAGCGCTAAATCACCTGAATCATGAGCACGCCCCACAAACACATAGCACACCCGAATTAGGTATTACGTATTTAATCATTTTTATTGATCTTTTCTTTTCGTAAATGTTTGAACCTTCTTTATATATACAGTGTAAAGTCTTTATAACGTCATTCGTTATAACGAAAAACCATACATTAATTCACTCTTTATATCGTATCAGCCACTCTCTATAAGGGAGAAATATTGTCATATTTAGACATCAACAACATACTTAAGTGTAATTGTTTTTATAATCAGCTTACAAAAGTAAACTTTTGAGGTGACGAAATTTCTAAGAAAGACACCTGAGGTCATAAACAGCCGTCTCGCCTTTGTTTTTGTTAATTGCATTAACACGTGTGCCATTATTCATAGATTACATTACCTGTAGGAAATTTTGGTCTCAGTTACTAAACGCACCACCGTCACCTATCGTGTATTATCAGTCTTAAACAAACTTTGAAACTGTCAAGAAGGCCAGTAAAAGAAAAACGTTACAATAGTCTACCTATTGATAGTAATAAAATTAGAAATTATTGTAGGTAATTGGTTAAATTTTCTCTTCCCTGAGTTTACACTGTATTATGTATTCCTTTGGCTATATTTAGTATAATTGTTTTTTGTTGTCTATTATTGTTGGTTGTATTACGAAATAAATAAATTAAAGGTAGTTCGTGTATGTGACGTACAAAAATGTAAACCAAATGCAAGTTGCGACACTGCAGCTTACATATTGTCAATGTCCGACCTTGAACACTGAACTGCTAGACACGAATCAACATTAACCTAATGGTATTAACTTTCTAA